ACATTGAAAAAGGGGCCAAAGTTGCGTTTTCCCACTATTTTGGACCACTTTTTAGTAATTCATTCATATTTTTTTTCTTTTAATAGTTTTTTATTCCATTTTTGTTTTAAATAGGATCTTGAGATGTCTCGAATGATCTCAGAAATTTTTTTCCAGTATCTTCCTGGCGTTTTAAAACAAAATTGATTTGTTTATTTGCATTTTTCATACGTTTTCGGAGTTATAGATATCTTTGAAACAAGCAGTAATTAAAAACTCATATTTCATTATATTGTTATTCAATGCACACCATTATCCACAGGACATGACAGTTGTATTCGATGAATGTGACCTCAATTCTAATAGCATTAAAGGGGCTGAACGTTTGCGGCGGGCGACCAACAAGTCATGTCCTGACATCCAATTTGATCCTGGCATGTCTGTACACGGTTCCAAAGGACAAGTTTTTATCGAGTAACTATAATAAAAGTCCGTTCATCAAATATTTGACAGAAGCCTTGGAAGAAAATGGTATTTCCACGAAACAGGCTTTGGACGATGCTGATTCATTAATTGTAGAAACAGCGCTGCAGAAAAACCCTACAGATGACCTGACAGTAACAGTAGTAGCAGAGGATATTGATGTACTAGCATTATTAACAGCCTTGGCCCCAAGAGATCGGAAAATTTATTTTTTAAAAGCTGCCAAAGGAAACAAGCCCGTACAGCTATTTTCTTTCGGGAGCCTTGATGATCAGCCTTTCATGAGAGATAACATTCTGTTTTTACATGCAATGACTGGGAGCGATACTACCTCTGCTTTTTTCAGAAAAGGAAAAAGTCAGTAGTGGAAAATTTGTCTAAATTTGCAGGAGAAGGTCAGTCCAGTGAACTCAAAACAGCCATTGAATGTTTTCAAAACCAGAGCCTTTCTCATGAACGGAGAAACTGTTTTGATGTCGATTTACAAATCTCCAAAAGAGGTGACAACTCTCCAGGCCCTCCGATACAAGACTTTCAACAACTTGGCCCAAAAAAAGACTGCCATAAAACTAGAATGCTTACCCCCAAGAAGCTGCTAGGCAGTACTTTTATAGGGTATATTTACAAGTGTAGAAATGGCTTGGAAACGAACTGCCACCAGAGGAATGGGGATAGGAACGTGCAGAAGATGTACTGCTGCCGGTGCAGACCACAAAGGATCCCCTCCCCGGAACTCTTGAAGATGATTTTTTTTGTCAGTGCAAGACAGGCTGCGAAAAGAATTGTTCATGTTTGAAAGCCGGACTGAAATGCTCGTCTGTCTGTGGTTCGTATCGGTCGACACAGTGGTTTAATTATACCAAAAATGAAGGTATTTTCCCGGAAGAATTAGAGATGGATCTAGACCCAGAAGGGGTTGAATGGGATGAGGATGAAATAGCTGTCGAGAGAGCAACACAGGGGTTGGAAAAACAGAGGGAAGGGACACGTGGAGGAGGGGAAGGAATAGAGCAAGAGCAAGATGATGAAGTGTATGATTCTGATGACATTGATTGGTTTAACGTATGATAAATTATAAGCATTGCTATGTATTTCGTATTTTCAACATGTTTTTCATAATAAAAGAAATTTTTCAGAAACTTTATTTTTCTGAAATCCTGGACCTATATTGTTCCGATAGAAGTTGGCGAAAATTTTGCAGAAGACGCAGAAAATATAAAGGGTCAATATTCATCACACTCTAAAGCTAGTAACCCACTATTAGGCAAAGCGCCGGGATTTGAGACTACTACATGAAAAAAAAAAAAAAAAAATTTGCACTTTTGTATTAAATTTTGCAACGCAAATTACACAGAACATTCGGCAATATAGATGAGATACCCCAAGCGCTACTTTACAGAAAAAATCCCGTAGAATCCGCCAATAATTGTCGAAAAATCGATTGGTGCCCGGATTTCCATTTATAGGCCCCATAATTTAAATAACACGCATAATTAATAAGTAAAGAGAAGTCTAGCAAAATGTTATTATGGTGATCGCCACAATATGTTTACATTACAAATAATATTTTTTAACTTACAATTACTTAATCATGAGGTAATTGACGAAAAAATTCCACAGAAGTGGGGGCACAAAACTTCATTAGGCTTTGCAGATCTTTGAATTTTTCACTGGAAATTGGCAGGAGACCTGAAAAGAATAAGGCATTCATTAGAAAACTCACTGTATTAATTCGGTGAAGGTGGTTTTGTTATTAGTACATACCGTTGTAAGCTGGAGGGGGAAGTTCAAACAATCCATCTTCCAATGATTGCTGACATTGCCGGGGTGACCTTATAATGCCAGTCAGCCTAGGTCCATTGTACGTCGTGCGATATTCTAGCAAGCGACTATGACTGGTTGAAGAATTTATTATTTTAATAGGCTGCGTTCTAAAAGGGCATTTAGCTATGTACTTTGATGGCAACATTTTCTTCCAATCCAGTATAATTTTTTGGGAAACGCTGACAACAGTAAAAGAAGATGGTTTCGTCCGTGATAATTTCACCATTTCTTCGAAATCCTTAGGTATTTCCATTAATGTTTTTAAGTTCCATAAACCAACGTTTTTGTCACACTCCAAATATGAGTGATATCCGTAAGGCCATGAATTTTATTGTTCGTAATGTAATGAATGAATTTAAATATCGTGTAGTTTTTATTATGTCCCCCTGCAGAATCGCAGAAAATTTCCAGTTCCTGTACTTCATCGTCCAAATAATTCATGATGAAATGAAATAGAAATGAGGCCACTTCATTCGGCCCTTTTTTAGCAATACCTTCGTGATAAAAGGTAAAAAATGGATTCACTAGTTGAAAGAACGTGAACGTTAAAGAAATACATAGCGAGCTGCCGTTTGTAGTATACGTCGTTAGTAGCTATATTCGGCAAGGAGATATTTTTTGCAAAATCTATGCATATGGCTTCTTTCTTCTTATTTTTTCTTGCTCCGATTTTGGATTTTTTTTTGAGGTTGTAAAAAGTTTCTGCCCTTTTTTTTATGAAGGATATTCATTGCTGTTAGCTGATGAATCTGTTGTTCATCTCTTTCCACAGATAAAGCTTTAACCTTTGCCGTATATTCATCGCACACTGCACAAGTACGCGGATATCCAAAAGAAATATTGAAATGCGTGTTGAACATTTGCCTGTAAGTGTCGTAAGACACAACTGCTGCAGGATGTAGTTCTTTGAATAGTTTGTACATTGTCTTTATGTTAAGGCTTTCTGGCAAATAAGTTTTGGTTGAGTCTTTAAGACTGTAATGACTCTGGCGACCTTTGAAACTTTTGATATGACTGGCAATTAAAGCAGCAGTAGCCTCATTGAGCTGCCTGTGTTTCTTGGAATGCTTACCCCTTTTATCCATAGGTGCAGAGCCCGTCGATTTTAAACTTTGCTGTATATAGTAAAGTTTATTTTTACTAATGCCATGAAATGAGCAAAATGCTTTTGCACATACACTAATATCTACCACGTCTCCGTTGTCTTTAGTGACTCGAACTCTGTAGGCAAAACTAGCTTCCCGTAACTTTGCCACTTCTTCAACATTTCGAGGTCTTCTCTGTGCCACAGGCATAACGGTGATTAATCCTGTCAAGTACATGTTTTGCTCGTTGTGAGACTGTAGCTGGTTAAAGTAGCCTAATATGCTTTTTCTATTATTTTCAGTAGTTATATTGTAACATTTAAATCGTTTGCAATGGCAAGGGTCACCAGCTTCATGCGTGGAAAGTTTTAATTTTTTATTTACCTCAGAGATTCGACCTGTTTTCTTCCTTTTTTTTTGGCTCACTATGTAGCTTAATACCTTCGTCCGAGCTTGACATCGTGATATAATTATTCCCAAACAAAGCTTGATACGAGACACTCAAGTTAATCCACAATTCTTAAACGTAAACAATACGATGCGACCCTTACAAAATCTAGCAATGCACTGATGCGTTGGCAGAACGAGCGAAATCAGAGTTGTGAATTTGTTGACTAGCCTGCTTCTTTTCCCGTCTCAAGTGACTTACCTGCTTTTGTTCCCTTATAGCCAAACTTTGGCGCCGTATATCTTCTGACTAGAGTGTTTCTTTCCCAGTTCCGGACTTTCGAAAGATACATACGCTTATTTTGTGCCCAATACAACTGTTCACTCGATATTAAAAAAAAATGACTTACCTGGTTTTTCCCCCTGACCCTTCAGATAATGATACGATCTTCATTTTTTATCTAAACAAAAATTGTCTAATTTGTATATTTTGGCAGATATTAGCGGGAAACCATTTTTTCGGACTTCAGGGGCCATTTTGAGCCCTTTCCGACCCAGCAGTGTTGGTAAAAGTTTTCGCCCTTGAAATCAACCGTCAAGACCTAAGAATTGAGCCACAAAGGAAATCTGGACCGACTTAATGACAGCTTTGCATATTTTCAGGTCTTCAGTTACTGGACTAAATAATTTACAATTTATTTACTGTAATTTTAGTTTATCTATATATGATTTTTGTTAATCATGTTTTCTTCCAAATGTACTCTTGTTCTGTAATTGGGTTAAAACCAGTTACACAATGTACATATTAATAAATAAATAAATAAATTATATATAAAATAGGCTAAGTATATTTTGGAAAAAAGTTACCCGATCTTCCCTGGTTAAGTCTTGAGGTTTTTTAGAATTTCTGTACTATGCTCTACATGGTTAATTATTATGTTATTTTCTTCACGATAAAATACATTCAAGAAATAAAAAATTAAATACTGAATCTTTTTTACATTGCTATTCATTTAAATCACAGATAGGTACCTAAATGCAATAAAAACATTGAATTAAAATGTTTATACGGTGAAACAAACGCCATCTAGTGTTGATTTTATGAATCTTCTGTCTTGAAATTAAACATTTCTGTATCAGGAAACTTGCGTGCTTTAAGTATTCTAATACAGATCTAGTAAGTAGTCCTCAATTTAGTTGATATTTATTTTCAAATATACCAAAATAATCATCTGAACGAAATAATTATACCTAAATACATTTATTTATCAAAAATGTCTTGTATAATATATTAATGAATGAGTATAAAAATAACACAGTCTCGACAGAATTTCGTGAGATAGTTTTAGATTAGTTCTTTCTCACGATTGATTATTTGACGGGTTGTTTAGTGGTCCCAATCCACCGGGTGACCCATACCTCCGTGTACGTGTTTCAGTAAAATGTGTTTCATTCCGCAGATTCCTTTATTGTCGTCGCCGTCCCATGGAAAAACATTTACACCAGCGTAACCGTTTTTCTTTATATAGTCTCCCTGCAAAATATAAAAATAGGTATTAAAAAAGATACAAAATTTTAAGTTAGACACATAATGAATTATTTCATGAAATAAATATGTTATAAAATATTCTTTCTAGAATGTCCAATTTCGGTTGAAAACTTGAGTACAGGATTGGACTTAGATGACTTTTTCTGGAATGCTATATTTAACAGTATCTATCCATCGGTCTGTCAGTCACAGGCGTATTCACAGACATGGATAGAGGAGATAGAAAATGTCATTTTCATCCACGTTAATTTTTCGGTGAATCGCTGATGGCTTTTTAATGGCTTCCTACATGCAACTGTCAATTTGCAATTAACTGTCCATTAACTTTAATTTTTCGATGGGCCGTTGATGGTTGGTGTTCGGTAGGGTAAAACAGGACAATGCTGGTTAGTAGGCAATACCGGTCATCCTGTATTCCTGGTAAAAAAAAACGAGGAGCGGCAACAGTCTCCGTAAAAACAACACGCAGGTTCTAGTTGAAGCGTCTACGACTAATTAATTTAGTCTAGAGCAAGTGTTTGTAGAGATACGAGGTCTTTGTTATTTAAGTAGTGTCTCTTTTAGTTTTGTAACCGTCGAAAATAAGCTGTAAGTACTGCCACTTTTTGTTTTTTTAATACCTATATACTTTAATAGTGAGATAAAACATTGTATAAAGACTGCATGTATTCAAATAAATGATAAACATAGAAAGTGATGACTTATAAAATAAAAAAGCGCACGCATGCATATTGGGACAATACCGGTCCAGACAACACACCAAATCCCAGAGATATCCACAGAATATCTTGTGTGGATATCCAATATATCTACAGGATATCAGAAATATTCCGTGGATCTAATATGGATATCCAAATGTCCGTCTATATCCAGAATATAGAAGATATTCTAATAGATATTCAGCAAAATATCTAATGGGTATCTGCCAGAAAATACAAGAAATCCCAGAGATATCCACAGAATATATTTTGTGGATATTCAATATATCCAATATGGATATCCAACCAAATGTCCGTCTATATCCCAGGATAAAGAAGATATTCGGATATCCAACCAAATGTCCGTCTATATCCCAGGATATAGAAGATATTCGGATATTCAACAAAATATTTTATGGGTATCTTTAGTAGAGGTTCATAAAGTAACCAATGATTATTGAATAACGTCGAAAGAAAATAGCAGAGATAAAAAATATTTTCAACACTCTGCCTTTGATTTTGCCCACTAAGGAGAAAGTCATCCTTAATAGGACTCTTCATCAATAAATGGAAGTTCTCGACTCCAGTCTGTAATGGAGTCTGTATGACAAAAATTTTGATCGAACTCTATTACGGCGGGTCGAGCATGAGTAGATGCGATAGTGGTATGGCCATCTATACTTAGTAAGCAGAATCAAATAACATCTAGTGGATATCCACGATGGTTTGCGTTCGCGCCTAGACTTTGATATATTTAGTGGATGTTCATGGGATATTGAATACACCTTAAAAAAATTAATTTTAAATATCTGAACGGTACTATTAGCCACAATGGCGAGCACAATGGCGTAATTTTTTAATAATTTGCTATATAATTACTATTATTTATAGACATTTGCATGTCTATAAATTACATCTCATGGATATAAAATATATATCTACCATGGACTGGACATTCAGTGGATATTGGGATGTTTAGTAGATATCCAAAGGATCTGGTGTGCTTTCTGGGGGTCAGGTGACCGGCATGGTCCCATACTACAAAAACGTGTATTTTGATATATTTATATTTATTGCAGTTGCCGAAGACACGGATTAGAAAAACTGATAAGGCAAAATGGTCAGTTGAATCATTAAATGCAGCCAAGCAGTTGTATGAAGAAGGAGTTTCAATGCGAATGGCTGTAAAACGATGTGGAAATCCATTTTCTACATTTCAAGAAAGGCTAAAAAAAGAAAATTTTGATATACCTAGTTTGTGAAGAAACCCTGTTTTTACAAGGAAACAAGAATGTGAAATGGCAAACCAAATAAAGTACTTAGCGTCTATATTTTTTGAATGTACTAATAAGGAAGTAAGGCGTATGGCCTTTGAATTTGCAGAAAAAAACGGCATTAAACATAATTTCTGTACTACATCTAAATCTGCAGGTGACGAGTGGCTTCAGGGTTTTCTAAAACGAAATCATATTTTTATTCGGAAGGCAGAGGCTACCAGTTTGAATAGAATAACTGCCTTTAACAAATTAGAAGTTGCCAGGTTTTCGAACTTTTGCAACAAGTTATGGAGAAATATCAGTTTTCAGCCAGAAATATTCACAATGTAGACGAGACTGGAATTTCCACAGTGCAGGACCCAGGAAAAGTTCTGGCTGCCAAAGGCCAAAAAAGAGTTGGCTCCGTAACAAGCTGGAAAAGGAGTCGCAATATAACTGTAGTTTGTGCAATGAGTGCGACAGGCAATTTTACGCCGCCAATGTTCATTTTTCCTCGACAGAGACATTCGCCCCTTTTGGAAAGAAATGGCCCTCCTGGTGATACTTATGCATGCAGCAAAAATGGTTGGATTAAGGAGCAATTATTTTTAGAATGGCTTAAACATTTTGTGAATTATTCAAAGCCATCCGAAAACAAAAAGTCTTGTTACTTTTAGATAATCACAGCAGTCACATATCTCTCGCAGCCTACAACTATTGCAGAGATAATCATATCATTATGCTGTCTATACCACCTCATACGTCACATAGGACACAACCATTAGACGTTTCATTTTATGGCCCCCTTAAAGCTCAATATAGAAATGAGTGCAATCTTTACATAAAATCCCACGCAGGGGAGAAAATAACACCATATGAAGTAGCTTCTTTGTTTCACAAAGCATTTTCTAATGTTGCATCAGTTGGTAAAGGATAATCAGGTTTCAGATCAACAGGAATCTTTCCAAACGATCCCTCTGTGTTTAAAGATGAAGATTTCTTGGCAGCCAATGTTTTAAATGATCCCGTAGAAGTAGCAGTCATCGATAATTTTGAAATGCAATCTTCCAATTCTGAAAAGAAGGTGGATCAAATTCCTTCTACTACAGTAGATAAAGCTTCACATATCATTGAAGAAGCAGCGATTCCATTGACTTCTGAAGAAACTCAACTTTCTAACGATGAGGTGGCTGCGGTTCCATCAACTTCTAAAAGACCCCTGTCTTCTCTTAACTTAAGTGTTGATGAACTACTTCCAAAGCCCAAAAATGTTAATAGAGTACAAAAGTCAAAAGGAAGGCCAAAACAACACTCCACGATTTTAACATCTACCCCCCTTAAACTGGTGCTAGAAGAGAAGGAAGAGAAGAGAAAAGCAAAATTGGAGAAGAAAAAAAATAAGAAAGATGGGCGAAGGAAATTAACAGAAGTCAAAAGAAAAATCCTGCATTCGCCTGAAAATGGAAATAAAAATGATAAGTCAACAAGTACGAGCCAAAAAATAATTGAGAAGAGAGCAAAATTAAGGAGGATGAAATCAAGATTATCATCATCATCCGAGTCAGATATTGACATGAATGGTGTTTGCAGTGACACTGAAAATAATGATGTTAATTTGAATTTATGTGTCATATGTGATGACTATGGTGCAGACAATGAGTTATGGTACAGGTGTACTAATTGTGGTTTATGGGCACACTCCCAATGTTCTGGAAAGGACTCGCTGACAGCTTATATTTGTGACCATTGCGTTCATGTTGACCGGTAATGCCCAGAGACATGACCGGTTTTGTCCGAGAGCAAGGATAATACCGGTCAAATAGGTTTTTTTTTTCAAAATTAATATTAGTTAAAAATATTAGATTAGAGTTTTTTCCTGTGGTTTAATCCAAAGAATAAAGGTTATGTTATATGTTTTTACTTTTTGAATAAATATATTGTTTTTACTTTTTCTTTAATGACATTTTTGCTTAAGTGACCGCCATTACCCCCATTTTACCCTATATGTTTTATTAACTGTTTCTCGCATGCAACGATAAAATTAAAATAAATTCACAAGTTCATCTGTGTTAAGTAACATAAAGAAAGTTCAATGACGACAATTATACAGGGTGTTATTGAAATACACGTACATATTAAAACTGGGTATTGCGCAGATCCCCACTGAATGTAGAAAAATATTATTTTTTAAAAATACCCCTTATTAAGGGAGTTATTAATTTTTGAAAATTAATTCTAAAACAAACGTACTTCACTGATATGTTGAGGATGACCTTTATAAATTAGGTTTATTTACCTATTTTAAACATCAACAGTAATTAATATGCAAGTTTTTGTCAGATGATAAGAAAACTAGTCTTGTAAGAAATAACCATGTTGCCAAGATTTTCGAATTAATTTCTATTTCCGAAGACTGGTTTTTACTACCCTCGTTATCAAAAAACTAGAATATTTGATAAATGATTGTTTTTAAACTATACATTTTTGAAACTATAAATTATTAAAATTTTAGTTGATTTACGAATCTGGCTAACACGAGCGCGTCATTTCCAAGTTGGTAAAAAGTGTTGTTACGATTACTTTTAAATATTTGTTTACGATGCCACTATTTACGAATATTGAACTAACGGATATAGTGCTGGTTTATGGGGCAGCTGGAGAAAATTCTCGGCAAGCACAAATCCTGTATCCAAATCGGAGAATTCCGGACTGTCGTACGTTTATTTCAACTGTTCAGCATCTAAGAGACCATGGAAAATTTGAGAGTGTCAATGCAGATCGAGGGAGAACAAGAACACAAAGAACATTGGCGGCCGAAGAAGAAATATTGGAAGCTGTTGAAAACCGGCCTCAATTAAGTTGTAGAAGACTAGGTCTTGAAAGGAGTGTCCTCATTTGTTGTGTGGCGGACACTTAAAGAACAAGGTTTACATCCTTATCACATCCAAAAAGTCCAGGCCTTATATCCAGGTGATGAAGAAAAGAGAGTGGAGTTTTGTGAATGGATGATTCAAAAATGTGTTGATATTCCTGATTTTCTAAAAATATTATTGTATACTGACGAGGCTTCATTCACTCGTGATGGCGTGTTCAATATGCACAATACGCATATTTGGAGTGATGAAAATCCTCACGCCATTAGGGAAACTGGGCGTCAAAGAAAATTTTCAATAAATGTTTGGGCTGGCATAATAGATCAGTATTTAATCGGGCCTTATGTTCTCCCGAACAGATTAAATGGGCCAGGATATCTCCACTTTTTAGAAGATATTTTGCCAGTACTCCTAGAAGAGATACCGTTACAATTAAGGCTCCGGATGTGGTACCTACTAGATGGCGCTCCTCTTCACTTTGATTTAAACGTACGGCATTTTTTGAACATTAGATTTCCTCAAAAGTGGATAGGCAGAAATGGACCTACTAAGTGGCCTCCGAGATCTCCGGACTTAAATCCATGCGATTTCTTTTTGTGGGGTCACATGAAACAACTGGTTTATAATGAACTTATTAATAGTGTTGAACAATTAACCAATAAAGTTAATGCGGTAGCCGAGGAACTACGACAAAATTCAAAACTAATTTCTAATGTTCAAAGTTCTTTGGAAAGACGATTGCAAGTGTGTGTAAATAATAATGGACGGCATTTTGAACAATTACTGTAATAAACTTTATTTTGAATTAATTGGTTTTGCTACGGCAACAGTGCAATTTCTATGGGTAAGTTCAATTTCGATTTATTTTACTTCTTTAAATATGGAAACTAGTAGGTCGGAAAAGGGGACTCTTCCCCAATATTTAAATTTTAGAATTTGAAGTTAAAATTGGTGCCAATCGTTTTTGGTCATTACATACTATTCCCCATTTTAATATGTACGTGTATTTCAATAACACCCTGTATAGGGTTAAATGTATCATTTTGCCATGAACATCTAGGTGATGACAAATAATGACAAAAAGTGAATTATTATCTTAATTTTTAGAAGCTACAAAAATCTTACCCTAGTCCAAACTGCATCTTTGGTATTAAATCCAATCCAAAAACTGTCATTGTATTTGTAAACGGCTTTTGTTTCATCGTCCCATTCTTCGGTATAATTGTTTTTATATGTCGAACAGAGCTAAGAAAATAAAACACATGAAAATCATTACACATGAAAATCATTACATCATTCTTTTGTTATTTAATAATTAAGCATTCCAAACTAAATGGCTACCAGTAGGTTTTGACAGGTTATGATATGGCAAAATTATAGCAACCCTGTAGGTCTGGTGATTTGACAAGGTCAATGAAATACATAGTTACATTGATTGATCATCCATATTTTTCAAAATAAACATATGCCTTATGCCGTGAAGTAAAAATGTAAGCAGTTATTATTTTTTAAATATCTGAAGGCTGACAATTGGTTTTAAAACACATTTTTGCTAAATTAATAAATATTTGCCAGGCAATATGGCCGCTCGCAAACGACCAGCTTTGAGCAATCTATATGACTATATATTTATCATTGACCCTGTTAATGACAACATGACAACAGGGTTGCCATATCTAAACTGTCAGTCCCCACTGGTAGCCATTTGAACAGGTCGTTGGAATGCCTAATACTTGGATTTTTATTTTATAAAACAACAACTCAAAAGCAGACCAACCATATTGTCACTTAAAATTGCAAAATAGTCGATTATAAATCAAAAAATAGCTACCACCGTCAATATGGACCCAAACGCCAAAACAGCTACCCTAAACAACGACATTGAAATACAAACAAAAGTATGTAATTCGTGCTTGCGATCGAATTAATTGATACAGTACCCACTCTTTGATTTGAAATTCTATAACCTGTTTCGCCTGGAGCTATTCAAGCAAAAGTGAGCCCATGTGGAATATCTAATCCACACAAAATATAATGTCCCATTTCCAAATTAAAGTTTGTGAACAATTCCGATTTATAATGGTGTCTTTTGCAAATTTTAGCGATATTACCACAATAGTATAAAGAACAATCAGTAGAGTGAATTGATAAGACTTTCAAGCAGTACCTTACACCTTTATGGGTCTAAGTTTACCACGAGGAGGCAAAGGAAGCTTGGAATTGAAGAAAGTCAAAGACACCCCAAATGACCTATTGGAGAACCTCCAAATAGATATTTTAAGAAAGAAATGCACTAAAGTGAGAAGAACACGTACAAGATAGCATGGAGGAGACGAGGGAAAACTACAAGCGTTTAAAAAAGGAACTACAGAATATTGATAAATAATCCAAACAAAAGCACTAGAAAGATCTATCTGAAGAGCTGAACACAGACATTTGATGAAGGGGATTTACAATTGTATTCAAAAAATTTAGCTGACAAGAAAATACACTTTTCGTGCACAGACCTTATGCGGTGAAAGAAAAGTAAGAGCCCAGGAAGAGCTACCACCACCATTCACAGAAAGAGAGTTAGAGGCGGCTATGAATGATATTAAGAGCGGAAAGATCCAGATGGTATACCACCGGAAGCGGTGAAAATGATAGGATTAACATTTCCAAAACTAGTTCTGGATAAATTAAATAGTTTACTGACAACACAGGCATTTCCGACAGAATAGAAGGTGCCTAAACTGGTACTAGTTTAAAGAAACCGACAGAAATCTCTTCAGCATATTGAACTATTGATAAACAAACTATAAGAAGGATTGATAGACTAGTGAACGAAATTGGGATACGAGAAGGTTTCTTCAAAAACCAGTACTGGTTTCGAAAGGGGCTGTTTACTTTCCAAACAGCACAGGAGTTAAGGCAAGAAATCGACGGTGGCAACAATGAACTAGAAAAAAGGGAAATATCTCTGTACCTTAGTAATACAGTCAAAAACTAAGCGAATGGAAAATAATGGTCAGAGAAGAAGAGCTTAAAGTTACGATAGGGGTACCGCAGGAATCGGCGTTAGGTCCGACACTATGGCTAGTACTGTATAATAGTGTCCTGCGGTTGGACCAACCAGAGGATGTAAGAGTCATTGGCTTTGCAGATGACCTTGTCAACTCGTTAAAGTAAGCGACTACCGGTGGAAATGGAACACAAGTCTTATGAGGCTCTACAGAGGACAGAGCGCTGGATAAAGCAAATAAAATGTTCTTGGCATCTGGGAAGACAAAGGTAATGTTGGTCAGAGGATACGGGTGGAGAGCGAGAAGACTTTAAACAAGATTCGAACTAGGGAAACTACGGAAATTTATTACCCTTGGAATCACAATGAACGATCTAAGAAGTTTTGGGAAACATAGTAAGAACAGTAACTTAAAAGGCAGAAGAGAAGATTAAAATGATAAGCAGAATAATGACAAATATATGAGGACCAAATAGTAAAAAAAGAAGATGCTGGGTAACGTAGTATATTCAGTACTTCTGTACGGGTCAACAATATGAGTCGAGGCTTTGCGGTTAACGAGATATAAGCAAATGATGGAGCGACTCCAGCGAAGAATCGCACAGTGTCCCTGCAAGCACTGCAAGTGATCTCTGAGAGTAATACCCATATTATATTATGTTGTGAATGGGGTGTTAATACACTGCGACCTAAAAGATCTATTGTGCCCCCTTTTATCACCACTGCAATAAGGAAATGTCTCAATGCCTACAGCGACCCTTCCAATCCTATTTTCTCAAGGAAGTGTACGATTTGAAGTGGTTTCAAGTTAGGTAAATCTACCTCTTCTATTTGATATCCTCCTAGATATAATGCCCTTGGATTCTGGAGTGCTACACATTCAGTTGGGATGTGAATGGAGGTTTCGTCCTCCTCCTCACAGGATGTGTACTCACTATCCTCTACTACTCTCAGTTTACTCTTAGTGTCCTCTTAGTCGGCAATGCCCGGTAAAGATCCCTGTTACAATACGTAGCCTGTTCTTGCTCAGGCAGATGCAGGCTTCCGATCTTTCTGGTTATATTCACCCAGAAGTATCTTGGCCTGTATCAGCCATAGAGATCGTTCCAATTATCGGTTTTTTTACTGCCCAATTCTTTTTTAATCTCTCCTAATATTATGTTACTGCTGATACCGCAGAACGGCTCAGGTTGAGCCCCTTTCCTTGCAAGACTATCTGCAATCTCGTTACCCTGTACCCTATTATGTCCCGGGACCCAAGTGAGAGTAACTCTATTTTTCTTGCCTAGCTCATTCAATTGTTCTAGGCATCTCCAGACCATTTTTGAGCTGATTACGTAGGAGCTCAACGCTTTGATGGCTGCTTGACTATCGGACATGATGATAATCTCTTGTCTATGATAGTTTCTCTCAATTTTTAACTGGATACATGGCGTGAATTTCCGCCTGGAAGATGCTTGGGTATTTTCCCAAGCTTTCGGAGTGCTTGGTTCTCGGCCCATACACTCCTATTCCAGTTCCTTCTACGGTTTTGGAACCGTCCGTATACCACTGAATAGCACGTCTTTCGGTTGCAAGCGCGATGGATTCTTAGCTCCATTCTTTCTTGCAGCCCAGCTCTTTGGTTTTGAAGTTTTTCACAAAACTACTTTATGCATTTCATCCTAGGGCATGTCCCAGGTATCTTTAGTCCTGGAGCAAGTGGACTTTCGTCAGATTACTCCGTTCCTGATCATTCTATATCGTGTCCTTTTTGCCACATTTTCTATCATCAAATGTAGGGGGGTGAGGTTTAAGATCACCTTCGGCCGTAGAACAGGTTCTCCTTGCCTCAGTAATGCAAACACAGGCTAGTCTTTGTACTTTTAAGATATTAGCTCTCGTAGTAGCTAAACTAGTTCTGTTACTCTAGGCTATAGCTCCGTAAGTGATGATTAGTCTCACTATTGCAGTGTACATCCATCGCAGTATGTTTGGGTTACATCCCCATCGTTTACCTGCAATGTTTCTGCATACCATTAGGGCTTTTGTGGCCTTATTTACTACTTTCTTCTCATGTGTGTTCCAGAGAAGTTTGTTGTTCAGGGTTAGGCCTAGATATTTGACTTTATTTTTCCATTCTATATCTATCCCGTCTAATTTAACGGTTTTAAGATTAAGTTTTCTTTTCCTTGAAAAGGCTACTATTGTTGTTTTTGTAGGGTTTATACTAAATCCCACTTCATGGCACCATCTTTTGATATGTTCTAGTCCTCGTTGGACTATATCACACAGGATATTACTAAACTTGCCACTTTCAAATATGACTATGTCGTCGGCATAACCTTGACAGAGTATGCCGAGGTCAGTCAATCTGCATAGAAAATCGTCTACGATTAGGCTCCACATTAGTGGGGATAGAACTCCTCCTTGTGGACATCTTCTGGTTGTGCAGATGGAGATGGTATCCTGCCCTATCTGTGTCTCTGCAGTTCTCGTAGATAACAGCTGAGCCATCCATCTGGATGTGATGTTATCTACTCCTCTGTATGCAAGTGCTCCATTTACAGATTCGTGTGGCGTGTTGTCAAAAGCTCCTTCTATGTATAGGAAGGCACACACGACCGTTTCTTTGTTTGTCAGTGCATCCTGGATTACGTCAGTCAACTGTACCAGGGCAGTTTCTGTAGATCTTCTTGCTCGGTACGCGTGTTGGCTGTGGTGGAGTGGCACCCTCTCCAGGACTTCCGTTCTGATATAATGATCAACAGCCTTCTCCATTGTTTTTAATAAAAAGGATGTGAGGCTGATTGATCGAAAAGATTTAGGATGTGTGGTATTATTTTCCCCTACTTTTGGAATAAAGGTGACTCTGGCCCTTCTCCATGCTTCTGATATATATCCCAGCTCAAGACTGCTCCGCGATAGCCGAATTATGTGTGGTAGTAATTCATCCTGTGCCTGCTGAAGCAGGGCAGGAAATATTCCATCCACACCTGGAGACTTAAACGGTTCAAAAGTGTTTATTACGGCCCACTTTAACCGATTTCTGCTGTATATGTGTTTGGCCACTACAGCGGCCTCTCTTACCTTAGTTGTGTCCCTTATTAGAAAAGGTGTGCTTCCAGGAAAGTGAGTTTCGAGTAAGAGGCGAGCTCCTGCCTCCTCACTCTCCGTGAAGCTTCCATTTGGTTTCTTTAGTGTCATAATTGTATCAACTCTCCCTTTTGCCAGGGCCCTGTGCAGTCTCGCTGCTGCAGGTGTAGAGTTAATATCCTCGCAGAATTTTCTAAAGCTGTTACGTTTAGCTTTTCTGATTTTTTTGTTGTAGGTAGTAAGCGCCTTGGTGTAGTTCTGCCAATCTCCACTGTGCTTAGCCCTATTATAGAGCTTCCGCACTTTAGATCGTAAGTTTGACAGATGACGGTTCCACCAAGAAGCATCCCTACTAGTTCTATTTCTTTGAATGGGGCAGCTTGATTCATATGCCTCAAGTATTGCCCCATTTAATTCTTCGAGATCGCTTTCCAGAGCAAGTGGGTGTCCGGGCCCCTTTTTTGTATGGATACGTGTTAAATTTTGTTTTAGGATGGTGTTATATTTGTCCCAGTCTGTTTTTCTAGGATTCTCCCTGAAAATCGTCTCAGGAATGTCACTCTCTAACGTAAACACAATTATCTTGTGATCATATAGAGATGGTTCACTCGATACCCTCCAGTTTTTAACTAGATCTTTAATGCTCGGTGTGCTTAATGTGATGTCTAATACCTCACTTCTTGCCCTTGTTACAAATGTTGGAGTATTCACAATATTTTGCACAATAAGGTTCTTATTAAAAATATATTCTAAAAGTTGCTCACCTCTTTGATTGGTGTCGTTGCTTCCCCATACAGTGCTGTGCGCGTTGGCGTCGCATCCAAGAAGTAATGGCAGATGTCTTCTCTGGAATTACTTCTAGCCTCGATACTTCCGGGGGTGGTACATGCCCATCTCCGGCGAAGTAACTAGAAGCTATTACTATGTCTTGCCGCCTCATCCCTAATTCCAGGTATGCTCGAATTGGAACGAGATCACGCGTCATGAATGCTGAAAGATAAGAATATTAATATTACTTCTTACCATTATGCATGTTCTGGGTACTTCGTCACTAGTGTGACAAATTACCCTTGCACCCTTACATGCAAGTTCTCTTACCTGGTTTCCATAGACCTACGGTTCCTGGATCAGTACGATCCCTAATTGATCTTTAGTGAATGTCCTGGAAATCACAGCTCAGGCTTCCTTGGCGTGATGGACATTCACTTGGGCGATGTCGATGTCCACCATTTTACTCTTCTTTAATGGAGGTGTTGTCCCCATCGGTGAGGGTGTGTTCCATATCCCCCTCTTTTGCTTCTTCATCAATTTCTACATCCTCAGATGAGTCTATGTAGAGATTTGAGAGGTTAAGGCTCTCTATGCTCTCCACATCAGTCTCATCTTTGGAAGTACTAGGAGTTGGTTCTGTTGTTTCTCCCAGTTCCTTTATTTCTTCTTTCTTTGGAAGACCGTGTACGGGGAATTTCCCGAATCGATAGTGGATAGTGCATCCACTATCCTTGATCCGTTAGCAGGATAGGTCATCCATTCCTAACTTAAGGTTCCGGCCTTTGCCCTCATCTTTTTGGCTGACGATTTTCCACAGTGTGGTCGATAGCCCCTCATTCTGCGCTTCTATTAACCGTAGAAGCTTCTCTACAGGCTGCCTTGACTTCTTGGGAGAAAGAGCGTGGCTGTATGTGCTTTCGGGATGTCGTCTCCCGCACATGCCTCCAACTCCACTCCCTTCCAGTTGCTTAGGTGTGGAATTTTTGCCCTTAGCCATTCTGCTGACTGTGGGGTTTTACAGTCGATCAAGACCATTCCTGGCCGGAAGTAGATGCCTTCGAATTGGAGCTTATGCTCCCATCCAGCTCTTCTACTATGGCTTCTTCCACCAAGGTTTGTTCGTTCGCACTAAGGATGGTCTCAGGGAACCCTTAGGTAGGATCGCAAGCCGCGAGTCTTCACGACAGTTGCATAACTGCCAGAAGCGGAAGTATCGGCCACTTTCCTTTTCTTTCCTTTCCGGTGGTATGGTGTTATTCCCGTCCCGCTTTCTTTTCAGATCCTTAGGATTGGTTTTACTTCCTTTTCCCTGGGATTTGTGCTCCACAGCTTTCTTTTTTGCTTCCTCCGGTGTCATGCCCTGAACGAGGTAGCGAAGATACCACCGAACCCCTGCCCCACTGAGTCCATGCCTCAGTGGGTCGTCCCTTCCCCCAGGTTGTCCCAGTGGAGGTAGGGAAGGTAGCTTCCGTTTGGATTCTTTTTTGAGGGAAGCTTCCCTCGCCGATGAGTGGTGAAAGGGGGATGGAGAAGATGGAGCGATGGTGCTCCTCTTCTCTTCTCCCTTCTCCCATACACATGCAGGTGGACGAAGATTTTACGAGAGTAGAAATTATCACTTAACCACGATAAAAAATGAAGAAAGGTGGTATAAATGTCCACATAGAGAGACGAACTACTTTCTCAGCCAGTTATTAACGAGTCATAGATCGTTTAAGACCTACACAAAAATAATTGGAAAGACACAGGATGGAGATTGTCTATACTGAGGACAGGTTGATACAGCAGAACACACGCTCTTCAAATGCAAAAAATGGGAAGCATACCAACAGGAGACCAGCGCTCAAATAGGAGAGGCTATTAATATACAAAACATTATTGGGGTCATTACGAGTGATAATGATGTGCAGCACGCGGTAAGCAAATTGGCCAAAAATCTGCTAAAAAAAAGATGAATGGTAAGAATTGTTATGAATAAACCCTGCAACCTAAAAGAATGAGGGTGAGGGGTGGATTTAGTAGGTAATCATAATTTACACCACAGTCTGGAAATCCCACCCATCAAGGATTTTCACCCGTAAAAACAGTTTTTGATGTAACGACAGATCCTGATTTTAGATAATAATTATATCGATACAAAACATTTTATTAAAATTTATAATAGCGCACTTTTAAAACTACAATATGTTCGGTTTCCCAGTTGAAAGATGTTAACAGGGCTAAGTATAATATGATGGAGGCCACCGTGACCTTTATGTTTATTTAAAATTTAACAATTTCACAATTTAGTTTGGGTTAGTAATTCTTCAACATTTTTATAGAATATTGATTCTAGTGTGGAAATGAAATATGTAAAATTATTGTGCAACACTTTCTAAAGACGAGTAGTCTAAATGCGAAATCATTTTGAAATAACTTTCAGTTCATCATCATCATCATCATCATCTGAATTAGGGCGTGGTTCAAAGCCCACTTGTACTGAAGCTCTAGGCTTATTGTACCCCTCACAGTTTCTATCCCATCACATTGATTTTCTTGATGAATTCAAGAATATGTCTGATGGGCGCTTTCGCGATTTCTTCAGGTTCCGGATATTGTACCCCGAAGTACCATTCCCGTTCCCATTTAAGGTTCCGGCAGTGGCATAGTATGTGAATAGGAGTTTCGTCCTCCTCTTCACATATTCTGCATAGGGAGTCATCAGATATCCCTAAGAGATTTAGGTGTCTTCTAAGGCCGCAGTGTCCCGTAAGGAGTCCTATTACGGCCTTGAGTTCGCTTTTGCTAAGGTTTAGCAGTTGATGTTGTCTGCTCGTGGATGGCCCCTCTAAACTTTCAGTTACTTCACAAGAATACTGGAGTTGTTTATGCTTCAAAAACTGAACAATAAATCGGCATAATATATTTTAACTTAAACTCAATAATCACAACTCAATGAAACAATAAAACTGGTAACAAAAATCACGTGGCAATAAATCAACTGATTGCATACAGTACTAGTAGAAGACGATCATAAAAAACATTGGCAACCCATAGCACATCAAGCGGCGCAATCGACGAAGTTTTGTTGTGCCTTCCTTGTAAAAAATTTTAGTCGCAATACTGATTATTGTCTATATTATAGTACACCCTTTATACCGTTGGTAAATAATTATATTGTTATATTGTAGATTAAAAATAAAACGTTTTTCCTATTTGATTGGATCAATTACTTAGATAAAGATTGGAAAGAACATGTAACAATTATTTAATGGATAGACGTTACGAGAGGAAATACATTTATTCCAAAACTATCCACAATACATTACTTTTGAATTTCTATTACAATAATTAGCTTTAAAATGAGGGTCGTACTTTGAGGTGTGTAATGGTTGGTTCAGCAGAAGGGGCTTAGATCTCTGACGACCTATTCATATGCTATTAAAGTATATTTTATTATGATGTGTCACAAATGGTACATTTCCTATCAAAATTTTGAATGTTGATTCTTTAAAAAAAAAAAAAATGAAGAGGCCAGCGATTTTGCAAATATTCGCCTTACCCAAAGTTATTTATCGTGGATAACTTTCATTTCAATGCACTGTAGAATATATTTTTAATTAAAACTGAAAAAAGACTTTCTACACTCAATAGTATCTGGACGGTGTTTATTTCTTAAACTATTTGGAAGGATTGTATTAAAGAACTTCCATTGACAATAGTAAATTGTAAAAATCATACCTCGTAATATCTGACGAATCCCCCATCTACGCCAGGCCCAGGTCCAGTAATGGGTGCGTGAAGTCCATGTTCTTTAGGATCTTTTAAAGTAAAACTTCTTCCATAGAAAGCGATGCTCAAAACGAGTTTCTCCTTACTCAAACCAGCATGAATCCAAGTTTTAGCGACAGAGTCCATGTTCGAATGTCGTTTTTGCCAAAAATCGTCTTTGGAAGAAGCGTACAGAGCGTTGTGTATTCCCGTGGAATTGCTCCATTCTCCTCCGAAAAAATCGAAGGATCTTATTGTTACCCAATCCAAAATTCTGAAATAAAATAATTTATTCTATAAAATATTTAATCGATTACAATTTTTCAAATCAGATTGTTCAATATATACATAGCGGGCCAGCATATACGACATGCTCTGTCAAAAATGCAGGTATTGTAAGATTATTGAGGGCTATATTTTAAAAATATGTTTAATTATAATAGAAAGTTTGGCATATCACAATTAGGTTTTTTAAACAGAAAACCACGGTTTTTATCGTCATTTTTGCTTAATCTTGCATGTTGTTTTTAATTGCTATGACATGCTCTTGCTTAATTATTTAAAAACTTTGCTCTATGATATTAATAAATACATTCATTTCGATATAAATTTGAAAGTTCATTTACGTATAACAATGTTAGTCAAATCATTTTACGCTGTTTAAGTATTTGTTATTCAATGTTTTTTTGTGGAAGTATTTTCTAAATAATGACTGTGATGATGGCTTTGTAAAAATATTGTTCCACCTGTTGTAGGTATTGGTCTCATATTCTTCATCTCATGTTTAGTGTGTACACTATTTCTAGCAAATACTGGTATAGAGAAACATAACATATTAAATAAAGGAAAATAATTTCAAACTCAAATGTTTTCAAGATATAAAAAAAATGAAAACAAGAAATTCTCCAAGCCACACAATAATATACTTAGTTTGAAAGCGAATTACATTTAGCATTTGGAATATTAAATATGATTTGATTTTATAGTTTTCTAAAGTAGGTATGTTATTTATGCCTCCTTTAAATCAATGGTAGCTGCCGCTAGCAAACATGGAATAGAAAACACCATCTGCTGGTGGATAGAAGACATGTTACGCGGACGGCAAGTACAGGCCTGTGGAACCTAGTGGCAGATGAACTGCTGAAAACACTAAACAATCAAGGGCTGTACGTCCAAGGATATGCCGATGACATAGTCATCCTTATCTGAGGAAAACACCAAACCAGTCTTTGAACTCATGCAAAGAGCTCTTAGGCTGACAAAAATGTGGTGCATTAAGGAAAACTTCTTGGTAAACCCTGACAAGGCACAACTCATAACCTTTACTCTGAAAACAAGGTTGGAGGTTTTAGAAACTCCGACTCCTTTGGAGGAAGGCTAAACAAAACGAACCAAGTAAAATATCTGGGTCTAATGCTAGATAGTAAACTTACTTGGAACCAACACTTACAAAAAGTGACCATCAAATGCAAAATAGCCAATATCTGCAGATTTCTACTGCCTAGCGTATGCCGATGACCTGGCGATCGTCGTAAGAGGCAAGTTCGCAGGTACAATATCGGAGCGCACACAAACCGCTCTAAACATTGTTGACGAGTAGTGCAGAAAGGAGGAACTAACAGTTAACCATCATAAAACCACAATAGTCAACTTTACAAAACGAAAAGTACCAACAGGACTAAAGTCACCAGTACTGGAAGGAGTGAAGATTCCATTTGCACAAGAGGCCAAATACTTGGGAGTCATCTTTGACCACAGGTTAACATGGAATTAACACTTTCAAAAAGTCGCCCAAAAGAGCACAACATCCTTCAACTTATATCGAAGGTTGTGTGGAAAAAATTGGGGGCTACAACCGAAAATGTCCCTATGATTATATACCAGAGTCATAAGACCGATGATAACCTACGGGTCGGTGGTATGGTGGCCAAAGACTCGGCAAGCTGGAGCCATTCGACAGCTCAATGGTATTCGAAGGCAAGCATGCCTGAATACCACGGGAGGTATGAGAACGACTCCAACAGCAGCTATAGAAGTCATGCTTGACCTAACACCACTACATATATTCATTCAAGGCGAAGCCAGGTCTGTCACATACAGACTGCACAAAGGTTCATCACTCATAAGCAGTTTGTATGGACGTGACTACAGCGAGCTATATAAAGAGTTGGAGAACGACCAAATAATGAGAATGCCTTCAGATGAAATGCTCCCAAAGTATAGCTTTCAGAAGCAATATAAAGTAAGTATACCAGACAGGGAAGCATGGACGGAAGGACCTCCTATTCATGCAGAATTCACCTGGTATACAGACGGCTCCAAAACCCATGAAGGTTCAGGAGTAGGTATATATAGTACCAAGCCAAAGACAAGAATCTCACTGAGCTTAGGTAAACATGCGACAGTATTTCAGGCAGAAATAGCAGCAATACATCATTGCGCAAAAGAGGTATTAAGACAGAAGGTAAATGGAAAAACCATTGTAATATACTCAGACACTCAAGCGACGTTAAAGGCACTCAGTTCCATGCAAGTACAGTCAAAGCTTGTGTGAGACTGTTTGGAAGCCCTAACAGAGCTGGGTAGTCAAAACAGATTAACCTTAGCCTGGGTACCAGGTCACAGAGAACATAAGGGCAATAAAGAGGCTGATTTACTAGCACGAGAAGGAGCCTCAAAGGCTCTTATTGGCCCAGAATCCTTCTGTGGTATAACAAAAACAACTGTCAGAACATGCACAAAGCAGTGGATCTTTAAAAAATCTCAGGAGTGGTGAAAAAACTCTCCAGGACAGAGACAGGCCAAAGAGTTCATAAAACGACCATCGGTTAAACTCACCGAGCATCTACTAAGCCTTAATAGGAAAAATACTAGAGTACTAGTAGGTCTATTGACAGGGCATTGTAGGCTTAACAAACATATGTATAATATCGGTCTGACAGAAGAGACCTTGTGCCGATTCTGTCAGGAAGAGGAGGAAACGGCCGTACACGTATTGTGCTACTGCGAAGGTCTAGCAAGACTGAGATTCCTTACACTTGGAAAAGAAAAACCAAGGGCAACTAGCTATACCGGAGAACTACTTCCTATGGAGTCTACTACAAAAGACCGAATTAGACAAGTTACTCTAAATAACGATTCAAGGATATCCACAATAGATCTAAAAAGGTCGAGGTGGGGGAGGCCACGTGGCCCACAGTCCTAATTAAATCTAAATCTAATCTAAAATGTCGCTCATTGTAGGGAGACGGGCATTTGAAAAAACATGGGAATTAAAACCAAAAATGGTCCACTGGCTATATTTGGCAATAACAAGACCCATGATGACTTTATGGAGCGGAAGTTTGGTGGCCAAAAGTAAACCAGAAAACAGCCCTCAATACCCTCTCAGGAGTACAGAGGCTGACATGCCTTTGTATTACAGGAGCACAGAGAAGTAGACCTACAGCCTCTATGGAAATCATTCTAAACCTCCCACCCCTTGACCTAGTCATAAAGGGGGAGGCCATAATGAGTGCATACAGACTGGAAATCTCCAACAACTGGAACCCACTGGGACATATAAAACATACCAGAATAACACATGAAGTAAATGATTCTATATTAAATATGGGATCAGATTACATGACACCTCTCCTAACCTATAACAGACTCTTTCAGATCAACTGTAACTGGAACGAGGTAAATAAGGAAATAGATAAATACTTGCTTAGCGGTCTCGTATGGTATACGGATGGATCTAAAATTAACAAGGGAAGAGGCTGTGGTGAACATGGAGTTAAATCCAAATGCGATATCATCGTCTCACGGGAAAAACATATCACTGTATTTTAGGCTGAAATACATGCAATCGAATTATGTGTACGAGAGAATTTAAGAAGGAAATCCAAAAAGAAACCATCCCAATTCTCTCAGATAGCTTTACAGCCTTAAAGGCTCTTGATTTAAACAGAATCAAGTCAAAGTTTGTCTGGAACTGCCTTGGAATACTAAATAATCTGGCAACCCACAACAAGGTAAAACTAGGACCCAAACGTGTATTTGGGATAAACAAAACCTCTGCTTGATAGGCAGTGAACAGGTGGATAACCACAAAACACCAAATTCACTGGCTACAGATAAGAGGGCACAGAATCAGTAAGTTATTGCTTATGCCAAACTTACGCATGGCTACTGAGGAATTACAACCCTACCTGCTTATAACCGACAAAGATAAAGATGTTATTTAGGTTGGAAGGAATACAGTTTTATTTAAAATACAGTGTACATTGTGGCATAACATTAAGAATTACAATTAACTGAATGCTTTAAAACAAGTGAAAAGATCAAAATTGTTTAAAAGTATCTCTTCCAGAGTTATTCTTGTTTTTAAAACATATTGAATTTTAATAAAAATCTAAATATATTGGAATAGCTAATAGCTAGGTTTAGAAAACTAATCTACATTATATTTTTTTGTTGAATTTAAAAATGCATTAAAAACCTTGGTGTGCTATTTAAAACAACCTAACTTTTATGTCATTAGCGAATTAAGAGACCACGGCGCCACTAAGGCTGACGGTACCGCAGCAAAAGGAACAGGAAGATACTTGAATTTCGACCAACCGAACGCAAGCAATTAGGCATTATGCTCGTTAAAGACATTCTTTATTTTGTTCCTTAATTAATTAGATTTTAAACAATATTTAAGAGATATTTAAGGTCTGTTTCAACAACAATTAGAAACCAGTCACTGACACCAGGATTCTGCACTGTAAAATATTGGGACTGTTAAATTATCTACCTCGTAGAATTCCGGTGTCAATGACTGGTTTCTGATCGTTGTTGGAACAGACATTTAATAAAACATTATAAAACCATGTTAAAACATGTTTTGTGAAGTAGTTATACACGATGTTATAGTACACAGGGTGATAAATCATTTAAAAATAATAATTTTGAAGTTAATTCGTTTAATTTCTAACAATATGCTAATATTTTTGGTCCATATTTGAATGTATTTTGAAAATAATGATCTAGGAAACCATTTTTGACCATTAGTATCATTTATCCAATAAAGAGCACTTCGTATGGTGGCGCAACCTTGTATGTTGCATTTGTTAGTAATTTATCTGTCTTATTCCTGTTGTATCTAAAATTCAAGACCATTTTAACTTTACAAAACGAAAAGTACCTAAAGTCACTAGTACTGAAAGGAGTAAAGATTCCATTTGCTCAAGAGGACAAATTCTTGCGAGTCATCTTTGACCACAGGTTAACATGGAATCAACACTTGCAAAAAGTCACCCAATAAAACACAACATCCTTCAACTTATGTCGAAGGTTGTGTGGATTGAGGACTACAACCGAAAATGTTATATATCAGAGGCCGATGATAACGAGTCGGTAGTACAGTGGCCAAAGACTTGGCAAGCTGGTATTCAAAGGCAAGCATGCCTGAGAACCACGGGAGCTATGAGAATGACTCCAACAGCAGCTATAGAAGTCATGCTAAACCTAACACTACTACATATATTTATTCAAGGCAAAGCCAGGTCTGTTACGTACAGACTGCACAAAGGTTCATCACCTATAAGTAGATTGCATGAACGCGAGCTATATAAAGAGTTGGAGAACGACCAAATAATGGGAATGCCTTCAGATGAAATGCTCCCAAAGTATAGCTTTCAAAAGCAATATAAAGTAAGTATACCAGACAGGGAAGCATGGACGGAAGGACCTACTATTCATGCAGAATTCACCTGGTATATAGACGGCTCCAAAACCAATGAAGGTTCAGGAGTAGGTATATATAGTACCAAGCCAAAGACAAGAATCTCACTGAGCTTAGGTAAACATGCGACAGTATTCCAGGCAGAAATAGCAGCAATACATCATTGCACAAAAGAGGTATTAAGACAGAATGTAAATGGAAAAGCCATTGTCATATACTCAGACAGTCAAGCGACGTTAAAGGCACTCAGTTCCATGTAGGTACAGTCAAAGCTTGTGTGGGACTGTTTGGAAGCCCTAACAGAGCTGGGTAGTCAAAACAGATTAACCTTAGCCTGGGTACCAGGCCACAGAGGACATAAGGGCAATAAAGAGGCTTATTGGCCCAGAACCCTTCTGTGGTGTAACAAAAACAACTATCAGAACATGCACAAAGCAGTGGATGTTTAAAAAATCTCAGGAGTGGTGGAAAAACTCTCACTGACAGAGACAGGCCAAAGAGTTCATAAAAGGACCATCGGTTAAACTCACCGAGCATCTACTAAGCCTTAATAGGAAAAATACTAGAGTACTAGTAGGTCTATTAACAGGGCATTGTAGGCTTAACAAACATATATGTATAACATCGGTCTGACAGAAGAGACCTTGTGCCGATTCTGTCAGGAAGAGGAGGAAACGGCAGAACACGTATTGTGCTACTGCGAAGGTCTAGCAAGTCTGAGATTCCTTACACTTGGAAAAGAAAAACCAAGGGCAACTAGCTATACCGGAGAACTACTTCCCAGTCTATGGAGTCTACTACAAAAGACCGAATTAGACAAGTTACTCTAAATAACGATTCAAGGATATCCACAATAGATCTGAAAAGTTCGAGATGGGGGAGGCCACGTGGCCCACAGTCCTAATTAAATCTAAATCTAAATCTAATTTAAAATGTCGCTCATTGTAGGGAGACGGGCATTTGGAAAAACATGGGAATTAAAACAAAAAATGACCCACTGGCTATATTTGGCAATAACAAGACCGATGATGACTTATGGAGCGTAAGTTTGGTGGCCAAAAGTAAACCAGAAAACAGCTCTCAATACCCTCTCAGGAGTTCAGAGGCTGGCATGCCTTTGTAATACAGGAGCACTGAGAAGTACACCGACAGCCTCTATGGAAATCATTCTAAACCTCCCACCCCTTGACCTAGTCATAAAGGGGGAGGCCAGAATGAGTGCATATAGACTGGAAATCTCCAACAACTGGACCCCACTGGGACATATAAAACATACCAGAATAACACATGAAGTAAATGATTCTATATTAAATATGGGATCAGATTACATGACACCTCTCCTAACCTATAACAGACTCTTTCAGATCAACTGTAACTGGAACGAGGTAAATAAGGAAATAGATAAATACTTTCTTAGCGGTCTCGTATGGCATACGGATGGATATAAAATTAACAAGGGAAGAGGCTGTGGTGAACATAGAGTTAAATCCAAATGCGATATCATCGTCTCACGGGGAAAACATACCAGGTTGAAATACATGCAATTAAATTGTGTGTATGAGAGAATTAAAGAAGGAAGTACAAAAAACAAATCATCCTAATTCTCGAAACATATGTAGTTCTCAATTAATAAAAAATAAAAACTCTTGACCGAATTAACCTAGGAACTTTTTATTTATATGAAATTCTACTACGGCCAGGAAATTATCTTTATTCTAATTTATTAAAAGAGTCCAACAAATTTACAATAGACCCGCTTCTAAAATTTTGGCAATTCAAGTGTAACAAGAAGTACTTGCGAAATAAATGAATTACTCATAATTACCTATTCATGGCTGTGACATTATATCCAGTTCCTTCTAAATATGGTCGTACAGTGGCGCTGAGTAACCAACCATTTCTGTCAAATTCATCTTTGACAATTTTCAAGAAGTCTATATAGGTTTTCTAGAAAAAAAAAAATAATATAAATATTTCAATGATGTGATATGCTATTGTGTTTTGGACAACCTAGAGAACTTAATTAGAAAAATTGTAACATATGATAACAAAAATGATTAATTTGCGACCAAGAACAATAATAGGCTATTAACTATATTCATCAAAAAACGACAATATGAAATAAAAATACAAACTTGATGGCCAAATTATAAAAAGAGAAGAATAAACAGGAAAAAATTTTTCAACAGGGTAGCATATAAATTTTCGGAAACAAAAAACATAGTCATAATATAATAAAGTAGCAGATTTCTAACTAAATCAGTCCTGTCATATTAAAAGACAGACATACCAAAATAGTAAGAAACCTGAACAAAGCAAAAACAAGTAAAAAAATAGGAAGGGAAAGAAGAAAAACAGAATGAAAAAATTAATTCTAGGAAAATTAACGCAAATCAGTAAAACATAAATATGAAGTTGAGACCAAAAAAAAACCATTCAAAAAGTAAACTGGTTTAAGATTACTTAAGTTGTTATTATTATTTGTCACCAACAGAAACAAAAAGTAGTGATGAAAAACTTTCGACAAGATGCACAGATAGTAACTAAAATTGTTTCCAAAAAGATAGAATACAGAAAACTGTAGAAGATACCAATTTGTTGGTTTATGAAAATTACTTGTTGAACGCCTTGGAGAAGCGACTTCAGGTTGACAGTATTTATACTGACTTTTCCAAGGCGTTTGACAAGGTTAGCCATAGAATTTTGGTTGCTAAGCTAAAAGCGCTGGGTTTGGGTGAGATCTTGGTCGCATGGTTCGCAAGTTTCTTAAAGGATCGTTTTCAGTTTGTCCGTGTTAACAATGTTTTGTCGGCTGAAATAAAGGTGACATCGGGGGTGCCGCAAGGCTCTCACTGTGCCCCCATACTGTTTATCTTATTTATAAATGATATTGGTAATGCGATTGTTAATTCAGAATTTTTATTGTTTGCGGACGATCTAAAATTATTTAAAGAGGTTTCGGAACCATCCGACTGCATGTTAATACAAAGTGATCTAGATGGACTTAGTGCTTGGTGCCGAGACAATGGTTTACAGTTGAACATTGATAAGTGTTTCCCTATAACTTTTTCACGAAGAACAGTGCCCATAACAAATATATATATATATATATATATATATGTCTTAAATGACCGAGCGCTAACTGTTAAGGGTTCAATTAAGGATCTCGACGTGATTCTAGACTCCAATCTTAACTTTCGAGAACACTTTGGCATGGTAGTTAACAGCGCTGCACGAATGCTTGGCCTTGTAACACGAAACAGCGTTGACCTGTCTATAAACGCCTTTAAATTGCTGTATTGCTCCCTTGTCAGATCTCTATTGGAGTATGCATCTGTGGTATGGTCACCCTATCATCAGGTGCATGTATCTGCTCTGGAGGGAGTTCAAAATAAATTCTTGCATGTTGTTGCCTGGCGTTTTAATATTAATGTCCATACCGATGCACAAAATCCTTGCGATTTCTACATTGGAGTCCAGGAGAGCGCAGTCTTCCATATGCTTTTTATACAAATTATTGATGGAAAGTATTAACTGTGATTGTTTGCTAAATTTAATTAACTTTTCGACCACGCGTCGAACTAGAAATAATGATCTTTTTTACATTCCCACCAATAGCACAAACTACGCCATGCACAACCCTCTCACCCGTATGTGTAGATTATACAATGAACATAATATCGATCCTTTTAAGTTCAGATCTCATCAGTTTAAAAAACATATTTCCAAAATTATGTAACTAAATTAAATTAGGTTGTTTTGGTATAAATGTGATATTGTTGTGTTAGTATCACTTATGAAATTTTGATATATTTTGTTATTCTACTAAAATTGTAAAAATGGAGTTTCCGTATAAATAAATAAATAAATAAATTATGTAATTTTGGACTTACCATATCGGATTCTTCTGGATATTGCCAGTCGATATCTATACCATCGAAATGGTAAGTTTTCAAAAAATATCCTGCACTTCCTAAGAATGCTCCTGTTTTTGCGGCATGGCCGGCAACCCTTCGAAAAAGAGTTGAATTAGTTGCTAGAGTGCCTCCAACGCTTAACAATACTTTTAAGTCTTTATTCTTCTTCTTCATATCTGTGATTCTATTATATAAACCTAAAAAAAAACAGAAATAAAAGTTTGTTACAGGAAGATCTGAAAAAGAATATTACAGGCTGTAGTTGGAATTCAGACAAACAAACCAAACAACGAGAAAATAAGATACTTAATAAAGATTATGTTATTTATTGACATTGTGTAATTTTTCAGTAAGATAAAGATTAATAATTTGTTTAAAAGTACATTATTTTTTGTGAATTACGGTTACAATTTTGGAAATATGAAAATATATAATCCCCTATTCCAATTACGAAAATTATGAAAATTCACCCCATATCATTTTACGGTTACTTTAGAAAACAAAAAAATTGGGGAAACAATAACAGATATATAAATCGTGGGGGTAACAATTAGAATTCTATAAAACTTAAAACTAAAATTGTCAAACTTTAGTAAAAGAACAATCAAACTTGAAGGGTGCATAAAAAGTCATTGGGAATTAAACGGGGTTGGTAGCACACTAACTATAGTATTGGAAGGTGATGCAAAATGGTAGCAATAATTAACTAAATATAATACAAATTAAAGTTAAAAGAATAATGTGTAGAGAAGAGTATCCTAGCGAGGATGAAACCCACAAAAATAAGATTCACCATAAACATGCGTGAAATATGTATGTCAATAATATTAGGAAACACCCAAATGTATTAGTGTATTGGTTTTTCGGATATTATTAAAAAGATTCAATTCCCACAATGAATAATGAAGTTAATTATGAACGCATCACACATAAATGAACACATTCTGTCAACAGTCATGCCATATCAAGTCAAGCGTCACTTGTCATCGTGTACTGTGTAAACACATGTATATCTAAATTGAATAAATAAAATACTTCAAACAGAGTTATTTATTACTATAAACAAAGTTACATGGTGGCAGCAGCTAAAAGAAGAAAGAACCATGGTAGGAAATAATTTAATCCCGCCCAAGTCGTTTGAACCAGGAAAAAATCCAGCAGAGGCCTGGGAAAATTGACGCCAAATGATAGAAATATACTGGGTGGCGACAAAATTGGAAAATAAGCCGAACAAGACCCAGAGAACTTTATTCCTACAGATACTAGGCGAAGAAGGGATCGAAGTGTATAACACATTTGAGTTTCAAATACAACCAGAAGGAAATGTGCCTAATTTAGAAGACCAGTCAACAACATGTCAACTGATACAGGCAGAAACAGCTAAAGATCCGGAATTACATCAAGTATTACAATATATAAGAAATGGATGGCACAGAAAAATAAGCAACATCACAAATGAAACAAAATTCAATTTTTTAGCCAGATATGAACTATTTGAAAACAATGGGTATATGTTTAGAAACAGATAGTCATACCAAAATCTCTTAGAAAGAAAATGATGAAAACTGTGCATGTAGGACATATGGGTATAAACTCAAACATAAGACGAGCACAAGAAGTCTTTTACTGGCCAAACTTAGGATCAGATATAAAAGAGTTTGTATCTTCTTGTATGGTATGTCAAAAATATCAACAACACTAAAGAACCAATGCAACCAACTCCAATAACAAATTATCCATGGAAAAGAACATCTATGGATTTTTTAAAAGCACAGGACAAGCAATATATTTTGATTGCTGATTACTTCTCTAAATTTATTGTAGCTGAGCCAATCACTACAACAACAGCAACTATGTTAATAAGTAAGCTGAAACAAATAATATATACGCATGGAATCCCGAACAAGGAAAAGAGTGACAATGGATCTCCGTTTGACTTAAGGTAGTTTAAAATGTTTCTAGATGAAGAAGGAGTGACTCATAAAACAAGTAGTCCTAGATATCCCAGATCAAATGGGTTTATGGAAAGACATATCGAAACGAAAAATAATATGGTGGCCAAGTCAAAGAATGAAGACATATACAAGACCGTCATGATATATAATAACACACCAAAGAAAGATCTTCTCACACCAACTGGCATTCTGATGGGACGGAAAATTCGAACCAACCTACCAATGACAGACAAATAAAATTCAGACAAAGATAAAGTATGCCCAAGAAAAACAAATTGCATACAACAATAAGACTGCAAGAGAAAGAAGCCCATTGGAGGAAAGCATTTTAATGCAAAAAGAAAAGAATACGTGGGTACCTGCAAAGATACTAAAAACATTAGAAGAACCAAACTCGTATTTAGTACAAATAGAAGACGGTGGAATGTACAGGAGAAATAAAATTCATCTAATTAAACAGAGCATAGAAGTGAAACAAGAAAAGCATGAAGAAAATATGGAGCAAGAAAGTGAAGAGAATGAAAAGAAACAGTTGGACAATCGAAGGTTGGAAGTGGAGACAAGAAAAAGTGGGAGAAGAATAAAACTTCTAAATAGATTTAAAGAGTTTGTTATGGGGGGGGGGGGGGGAGATGTGACGTAGTGGAACGCATCACACATAAATGGACACATCCTGTCAACTTCATGCCATGTCAAGTCAAGCGTCACTTGTCATCGTGTACTTTGTACACACATGTACATCTGAATTGAATAAATAAAATATATCAAACAGAATTATTTATTATTATAAACAACGTTACATCATTGACTTTATATAATTATGATAACTTAAATTTATGTCAGAATAAAGACGGAATATACCAATAAATATCAATGACTTTATGCATTCCAATTTGTATCCATCAAGTTCGATTGTTTCTTTACTAAGGTTTGTAACAATTTTATCACACAAACAATGCATTTTCGGGATATTGCTGACCTTTTACTGTAATTGAAGAGAAAATGAATGTGACGATTAAAAGATAATAATAATAATAATAATATTCTCCCTAATTCACCCCCTTACGAGTGAATTTCAACCCCTGAAGTCAACTGAACGACTTGTGTAGGGGAAGGGACGGCTATTATTATTATTTGCCGCGGCGCTCCGGGGCGACTTAAGGATGATTGATGGTGCCATTTGACTTACAGGTGAGGAAAACCCGGAAAACCTCACCCACCATCATCGAGACGATAATGTATGGCGATTTTATAATCTGCATGTCATATCAATAGAAATTGAATTTTCTATTAATACGGCACACATCAAATCCTAAACCGAACCATGCAATTTAATTAAAAATCCACATGGTCTGGTCTGAGATTCGAAGCCTATAAATGAATATAAGCGCGTTAGACCGCTACACCATCGACCCGATAAGAGCCTACTTTTGGCCTTTCGGTAGTGGCCCAGCATTATGTTGCTTGATAATGGGATAATGAAGGGCAAGTAACTTTATTGGCTAAAAATATGATAAAACTCAAAAGGCTCTTAACTGCCGCAGACCCAACACCAACAGTTTAGGAAGGCCCTTACCCACGTTCATAGATGGAGACGCCGATGAACGCCTGCTACATACTCTACCTGTGGACATGGCTAGTCTCCTTTTGCTGGTATTCACTATTCACTAGTTATTGTAATTTCTTACTTTTACATTTTACATGTTGTTAATTTAGAAGACATTGTTATCTATTATTATGTTATACAGGTTGATTCATAACTATTGGGACAAAGACTAAGGGGAGGCCATTTAGACCAGCAAGACGGTTACCTTTCGATGTGGCGCGACCTTTAATCCATCTTAAGGTGACCACATTGTTGTTGCATATTTCGGCCAAAGCTTCGTGGTATTCTAACCCTAAATAAATAAATTCGTGGTCTGTTCAGGGTGAGTAGTGCTTGTCTGCTATCTGTATAGATGAGTATGTTCCTTCCAGTGATATTGTTTCTGGTTATTTATTTTGCTGCTATGAGAATCCCCGTTAGCTCTGTTTGAACTACACTGGCACTATTTATTGCTCACAGCCCATTTCATGTTTAGGTTTGAGAATCTGGAGTATATTCTACATCCTGAGCCTTGTTTTGTTTTAGAACCGTTAGTTTAGATATGAATCGCACGTGCCACTTCTGGCTCTTCTATTTGTTCTATTATAACTTGATATGGCTTATGGAAGATATATCTCGGTGAGATGGAGTCCATGTTCGTTTGAAGCAGTAGGAGCGTGAGCGCCTCCTGCCAAAAGTGACGTCTTGCTTCACCAGATCCTACATCAGGTTCTATTCCAACCGTGCGAAGGCGTCATTGTCGTCAGAGCAACCTCCTTGATGTAAATATCAAGGGGAGTAAGACTAAGAATGCTGTGCGATTATAGTCTATTGTTTAACTTTACCGCCCTGTATGTTAATCCGCCTCAATATTTTATTAAGGTGTATTTGGTACTATCGCCATATTTTGGTCTAAATAACTTGCCCTTAGCCTATGTCCCAATAGTTATGTATCACCCAAAGCTGAATAACATAAAATGTCTATAATATTCTATACTGGAATCTCTTCTGTTTTTGTATATAATTTATAGTTCAGACGGTACTACTGGACAAAGAGGCACTATCGAATCGCCTGTCTGCTGTAGTGACCTATATATGTTGGCCTTTTAATTATAAAAGTTAAATGGCCATCATTACAATTGATGGGTAAGGGTTATTGGGTCTTTTATCTCCCTACACAAAATGTTTGTTGGGTAGTTTTAAGTTTTATAAGATGTTGATTGATATCCTTCCCTTTTAGATCGAAACCGGTAGTCATGTAATAATTAAGTATTAAAATTTATGTGATATCTATTTAAAATATTATATTTTCTTTTTTATAGATGTGGTAATGGTTATGAACACCATTCCAAAATAATTTTAAAATAAAATAATGCCCGTTGGTACTTTACTTACCTCTCTGTTCCTGGTCTAAGTCAAGCCCATCATCTTGAACACGTACATCGCCCTTATCCCAAAGACCAATAAATTCATACACCACATGAGTGCAAAGCATAGGATCTAAGTCTTCAGGTAAAATTCCTTCGTACGCCCACCAACTGGCATAAGTGCAAATAACCTTTTGACCATCTAAAGCATAAACAGAGCTACCAGGTGATGTTTCAGTAGTAGTATTTTTTCCTCCGCTCCCTGTGATTAAACAATCAGGCTTGGGTTTGCCGTACGAGCCATTTATGCAATATCTGGTGCTGGTTGAGGTTCCTCTGTCAGTTTCGAATCCTGCTGGGCACACATATGTGACGCTAGAACCGTCCGAGGCGTCTGCGCAGTCGATAACTTGTTCCCTGCTGTTTTTGCAACTGGTAATGGTCTTCTTTGGAAAATCAAGTTTTGGGCATAGCACTGAAAATATGGTAAATATATTAATATAACAGAACACGGTAATAAAGGGACTAAAGTGGACCTACATTTGCATGTTGGAGCATTATAAGTATTTTCACATTCATAATATTGACTAGCAGACGATAGTTTGTATCCCCTATGACAGGAAAATTTCAATATAGAGGTGGATGGAACTATTTCTCCGGGGTATTTTTCTGCATCATTTTCTAATGACCATTTCCCATTTTCTGGATGAGCTGGTAGTTTGCAGTCTTCGACGTAATGTTTTTGTATTTCTACGTCAATAAAACTACAAAAGATTATACCAATATAAACTCTTTTTAATTATTAAAATCACTATTTCTTTTTTCCTAATTTCTACTGCGGTTTATATCTTGGAATATAAGGATATACTGAGGCTAAGCTAGAAGAATTAGTACGATTGATTTTATCATACAATATGGAACTAATTTATATTATTGTACAGTATACCTCTGTATTTTATCAGGGGCGGTATACGGTCAATTAGCTGCAATATAGTATACATTCTTGTCACTAGGCGTTGCTAGTACACATTTGTACCGCCAGTCGGTAGTTAACCTCAAAAGTTCATATGTTAGTTGTTATTTTTGTTAAACGTACCACAGCCAAGTTAAGTAGTTCACACCGCTCAGTAGAGAGCAAAGCCGCTCATGTCGGGTCCCTTAGGGGCAGCTAAAACAACAATTGACCAAAATAGGCCGCCAGCAGAGTCAATATGCATAAAGGCACACAAAGGCACAAAGATAAACAGAAGGCTGATACATACACATCAGAGAACAAGATAAGGAGTGTGCAAGATCCAAAGCACTATTATACCCTAAATCCAAACGTACTTGAAAATCCAAATCGTACAGCGATATAGACTCCCACGAAAAAGTAGGAAAAATTCTGTATCCAGCTCTGAAAGCTCATCTAGCAGTGTTGTAGAGGTAAAACAAGCAAATATAGCCGATTTGCACCCGTTTTAAGTAGCCAGCAACACTAGCGCGCTGTACGCATTACATAAACTTGCAGCTAACGAAAGTTTGGAGAAAAATCCTTTCTATACACCACTTGATTTTGCCCCCAAAGAGAAAACATATTTGGCCAACGTTCGAAGCAAAACAGAACACCCTAGAAGGTGCATCAGAGAGCAATGACGGTTTTCAAGTGCCAAAAAGAACCAAAAAATTCAGAACTAACTTCTTAAAGTTACTAGAGCAAATGGTAGCAGAATCTATAACAACGCATAACAAATTTGACACTATAAGTGACAACGAATCAGAAACAGACTCAGAGAGAGATGCTCCGCCACTAAAAAAAGACAAAGCTACCCCTAATCTAATCAATAAGTCAAAAATAGACACAAAAAACACAAAACTCCCAGCAAAGAAAATCGAAAAAACTACTAAGAGAGAAAACATCCCTCCCCTAGTAGTAGATAGACGTACAGACAACCACGATAACTTAAAAAAGGTTTAAAGAGCATCATAAAAAGAAAATATTCAGTAAAATGCTACCACGGTAATTTTCACTGAAAATGACGAAAATTACAAGGCCTTCTCAAGAGCATCAGAAAGGCGGACATCCCTCATCACACATACACAAGAAAGGGGGAAAAACACATGCGTTTGAGCTAAGAGGCATGGCTGATGGCGCCGACATAGCACAAATTAAAAAAGACTTTGTAGAAACGTATGAAATAATCACTAGAGAAATCTACAGAATGACCATTGTACATCGGCCATTATACCTAATAATAACATCCAACAATAACACTCGATTGCCTAAACAGGAATGTAAGGGTAATCGAGAATACACGTGTCACATGGGTACTAGGAAGTTCTAAAAAGAGCATATTTCAATGTCACCGATGTTAGGCATGCCTAAAATGCCCCAAATGCCTAAAATGTGCAGACCATCATCTGACATACACATGTCAAAAACAAAAAAACGCCCCTGCCAAATGTGCAATTTTTCAGGGAGAGCACCCAGCGAACTATACGCAATGTAAAGCGTATACAGACATAGCGGCAAGAATGGAAGAGAAAAAATTATTAAAAAACCCGAAAAAAGTACATAGCAGCATAATAACCGACAATGATTGCATGGGAAACAAAACATACAGGAAATAGAGGCCTCTAAGCAGCAGAATTTCTGCCACTATCCAGCATGAAAATGCCAGCCACACAAGCTATACAGAGACAAACTCGACACACAGAATAGACATCGCCCTAAACCACGAATTAGATGAATTACATTTTTTTATTTAATATAGCAGAACTCCTCCGAGCCATTAGAGATTTAAACGTACAACTACGACTTTGCCACACCACAGCACAATAGTTTACTGCTTTCAACACATTCATGTCAAACATAGACTTATTCAACATTAAAAACTAAACAAACATGCATATTTAGAAACTTAATAAATTCACCACATAGCGTCGAATGTCGAACATATGACGAATATTTCACACGGACTTTCAAGAGTAATAGTCCGACGGATGACTGAGCGGTGGGCTGCCCGCTGGTGCACCGATTTGGAACTTCAGTTCACCTAGTGCTTTGACTAGGAACGGTTGCATTAAATTCCACGTGTATTTTAATTAAATCTTGTTTTTGACAGCTGTCAATAAAAACCTATTATTTCCTTAACGTTTTTCCCACGCCAGAGTAAGTTTCTTCAATCCCTATAAGGGAAACGGTCCATGTCCGAGCCCGACAGAGCCCATAAAACGTCGACTATCGGCTTTGAAACCGAATTAGTAAGTTTGCCAGAATATCTTCCCCTCAAACCATTAGGAAAGCCAAAGTAAAGATTCATCCAGTCAAAAACGTGAGTAGATACTCCATACCATTAACGGGCACTAACCTTGAGTTCAATCACCCAAAACAGGGGGAACCCCTTGCCAAATTTCACGAGGAACGACCTTCAAATGCCCCTAAAAACTTGGCAAATAGAGAATCGAACGTTGTTACTATCCTAACTACCATCCCACTACAATCCAAAGAAGATCTCGAAAAGATACTGACCAAAGGTGACTCAGATGACCTAGAGTTCCATGACTCATACGATGCAAACATGGACAGTCAGGATGACAGTAAATAACTCTGCCAGTAATTCCACAGTAAAAACATCCACAATAACAAATGAATTGAACCCGGATAAAACAAAAGCCGTAGGAGGCAAACCAAATTACAAAACCCTCCCCCTAGCCCCAAATGTAATCACAAAATTCCTCGCTTTTGGAACAAATAACTTAGAAATATACTTAACTACCAACAGAGGGTCAGAACTCCCAACAGTTGATCTAATCAACGATAATGATAGTGCAGAGAATGCTCAGGCTCGTGGTGGAACGAGTAGCTTCAGGTCTGAGTATGAAAAAGCAGTACAATCTCAACAAGATTCAAATTTATCTGGCATAACCGAGAACATTTTCAGAGAAAATGTTATAACCTCGGAAGAAGATAACCCAAAAGCCCCAAACATACAGACACCTGTTGAGAAACTACCCCATTCTCCCAACACAGTCTTTCTTCTGAGAAAAGAAGGACAAGTAATCACCCCTAAAAAACACAACAACATGGATATCGATGAAAACAAAGATAAAAATGATACACCCTTTACGAACCCGAGAAGATTCAGCTCCAACTTTCACAGGTTCATAAGGGAAAACACTAAGAAATCTCTAACCCTAACTAAAAATAAATTTGAACCTTTAACAGATAACTCTGATTCCGATCTTGACGACGAGATCGGAAAAAGAGTCAAGAAAAGGAAAAAAAAGCCATCCCGAAAGAAAGGAGTCATATAGAAAGACAAGATAGTACGGTCAAGGCAATCAAAACGGATATAGAAGGAAATCAACACAATATTAAAGAAAAAACGGTCAAAACTAAACCAACAGAGTCTAAACAAAATAAAACAAGAAATGCTATGCCTCCAATAGTAATCGAAGGAAAAACAACAAACCAAAAAAACTTAATACAGGACATAAAAACCATTGCAAAAGAAAGTTTCAGTGTAAAACACACTAACTATACAACAATCTTATTTATCGATAAAATAGACGACCACGAAAAGGTTCTGGCCAACATAAAACAGGTACACCAAAAACGATGACAAGTCGCACGCTTTTGTCATGCGAGTACTGGCAGAGGGCACCAAAATTAGTGACATAGAGGAAGACATCGAAGATCAATATGAAATAAAAACAAGAGCGGTATATCAAATGAAAACTAAGGAACGCCCTCTATTCCTTGTTATCACAAACCCAGCAATCACTCCGGAATATTTAAAAAAAAGCTCGCTAGGTCCTATACACTCAAGTAGTGTGGGAGCTCCGAAAATCAGCAAAGCAGATCATACAATGCCACATGCCACAGGCCACATATGCCACAGGCCACATATACACGGCCCAGACATCGGTCATGGTCATTACATGGCCAGCATAGTAGTTAAATCTTCCAAACTACCGTCAAGAAGAAATATATTGTACATTATGATATATTTGAATACTAAGATATAATATAAATATTGTAAATATAAATAAAAGACTTTTGAAATGATAAATGAAAATGATTTGGAACCTATGTTCTAGATCAGGGAATCGGCCCTCGCCGAGAACACTATACACTCTCGACTGGAACTTCATTGGGGGTTTTATAACTCACTTTTTACTGGACCACGAACATACCATGACAATCCTGTTTTTTCCTAGCTTTTTTAGGGGACTTAACCGTAACTAAGACAAGACAAACCTATTAATTTTGACAATTACCGATTACAGACACACAAAACTCCTTAATTATGCCATTAGGGCAAGGAGTGAAGGCTGCTTTATTTGCGAAATCATAATTACTAAGCAACACGGCATTTTTTAGGCGAAGATGCTCGTTTTTGCCAGGGTGGACCTCTACTTTGGGTGAAACTTTGTACCTGTAATTTATGTCGATTTGTATATTTTAAATTTTAAAAGAGATAAATAAATGTTTTTAATTAATTAATTAATTAATTAGATCAGTGGATCGGCGACCGGCTCAGACTACGAAACTCCTGTTTTTTATACACTTTTCAGGGGACAATAATCAATAGTAAACTCAGACAAACCTGATCACATTCAATTACCGATTCAAAACAACGTCAATCTCTTAATAACATCTGATAGGTAAGGAGTAACGGCTGCTATATTTAGCAAAATTCAAAAGAAAACCATCGCTACGAAACTTTAGCGAAGATATCGCCATGACCGGATTGGGATTCCGTAAGGCCCACACAAGCAAGCTTGAGTGTTAGATTTTGTTGACCATGTATATGTATAAATGCTATTTAAGGCGAATAAATGTTTTTGATGCAAAAAATTCAAAATGCCTTATTACATTCTTTACTAGATACTCTAGTATAAGTCTCACACATTTGGTGACTATTTCATTCACAGCAAGTGAAATAAGGTCTTTTCAAAGAATATTAAATATATTGAGTACGATATTTTTTTCTTCCTAAGATCATGCTTCATGTCCACTAGGTGGTTTGCACGTACTTGTGCTGGCAATATTTTAAAATGCACTCGCCATTCTTATATAACTGTAAAATTATAATATAAAATTCCGAATCAATTAAAATACATACGGTACAGCTAGGAATAAATAAAGTCTGTCTTATCTTCTAAAAGAAAAGGTTTTTAATAGTAGAAACCATAGCAACATAATTAAATCTAAACGAAACTTTTTATTATGCCGATCAGATGTATTAAAATTGTGGAAATAAGCATTGAAGGATGAGATATAAACAAAATGTCTACCTCTTGAACCTGTACTAGGTTCTGCAAATTAAATTACTGCACCCCTTTCTACTCTAGATTATAGAAGTAAAAGTAGAATATATTCTTACCTATAATAAAATGCTATACTGGTGTACAACGCGTTCGTCTCATAATTACATTGCAAATTAAACAAATTTGGAGCTATACTGACTATTCCATGTATGTAATATCTGCTGTCTTCGCTATTTACAAACACTAGCCCGCTACCACTGTCTCCTTTGCACACGCTAATGTTCCGCTTGTAGTAACCAGCACATATTTTGTCCAAAAAATTGTACTTCTCCTCCCATTCAGCCGGCAGCTCTTGGCTGCAAGTACTTTTCTCTTTGTACGGAATTTTGATGACTCTCAAACGGTCTGCTACTTGGTTCTTCTCGGTTATGCCCCATCCGGCTACCTAAATTAAATATAAAATTATATATAGCTTGATTTTTGACATAGTATAAACATTTCTCAACCTAATTGGTGGGGACTTGAGATTGTTCGATGCTTCAACGGCAAACAAAAAGATACGAATAAATATTGTAAGATAAGTAGCTGTTAGGGCTACCTGTCAGAGGCCACCTCAGTTGGTAACATTGAATAAGTTGGTATCACTGCTTAGACATTTTGACAATGTCATTATTTTATGTCATTTAGTTTAGAGGTTGATTTGATCATGTTGGTTCGCCCACGTTATTTGTTAAGAAATAAAGTGTTTTTATGAAGAAATCCTTATACTTTTATTTTAAATTAGAGCCATCCTTACAATATAATGTAATATTAATTTGTTTTGAAGCTTGAAGAGATAAATATAAGATATGGAATGTTTTAAAATACTTCTTAAAGTCAAAAATATGAGGGGGCAGAGAAGCTATGTATTCTTTAGTTTTAGTTTAACAACAAATATTTAAACTGTGTATACTGGTGACATATTTTTGCAAATTATTTAATTGGTACCCGCGGAGAAGGTAATCGTATTTAATAATTTAAATAATTTAAATACATACTATGGGGTATCTAGTATTTTCTGAGATCTATAAGTTTGTTAAATATGATAATTCCTACATTTCAAAATTACTGATATATTTTATGTACAAAAATTGTTCTTGTAGTTTATAGCAAACAGGAATAAAGGTTTTACTTTGAAGACAATCATCTTCATTTCGCCATCTTAGCAGTTTACTTACTTCTCCCATTTGCCTGTTTTTCAAGTAAATGTTCTGAAGATTGTTAATGCAAACAGGTTGGACGACTGGTCCCAGACGAAACAGCTTTTCTAAAACAATTACAGCAATATCCGCAGCATAACGTTGACTTTCTCCTCTGTATCCGTCTTTTACTATCAGTTTGGAAATCTGTTAAAAAAAAAAGGTAAATTAGTATAAATTATTTTCTATCTCTGAAGAATGCAGAAACTTTGTAGAGAAATGTAAAGAAACGGTTAAATAATAATAATAATAATAATAATAATAATATACAATGCACATAAACATCCTGAGGCGAAGTCTAGCTTGCGCTACTCAACTTAACCTCAACATAAATATAAAATAATCAAAAGGTATCCATCATTAACAATATAAAAAAAAATAAGAAATTTAATATACAATTAATTTATGATTAAATAATGTTAACCCTGTATTAATCTAAACTGAAATCAATTTCGGTCCTAAAATCCGTTTTTTTTTTTTAATGTAAAAATAAGAAAAATGTATGGAACTTAAAATACAATTAAATAAGAAAAAATGTTTAAAATTAATAACATATTAACATAAGACCTGTATTCATTGCTCAACTAATAGCAACGTTTTATAATTTTGTTTCAAAAATGTCAGAGAACGTGTCCTAATTTCCATAGGTAGACTGTTATATATTGAAACGCCTTTATATGTGAAAGATCTTTTGAAAAATGATAATGATAATTCGGAATTGTTAAGTTGTGTGGATATCTCAAATGTAAACTGTGCAGATCTTTTCGATATATTAATTTATTTTTTAAATACATGGGAGTTGAGGATGAAAGAATTCGAAATACCGTGGTCGCCATCTGATATTTAAATACATTTCCTATATTGAGCCAGCTAAGTTCTTTAATTTTATTTTATATTCTATCATACTTTCTGGTAGCAAATACAAAACGACAACAAGAGTTTTGAATCTTTTGAGGTTATTTGATCCAAACAAGGATAGTAAATTAAAAGTCCATAGTTTAGGATAAACAATACAGAGCAACTTACGTAATTTGAAACATAAAAAATCTTCATTCCTGTATAATTGACGAATAAACAGATACGATTTTTTTACTAGAAGCGAAACATAGTCCTAAAACCTTAGTTTGCAGTCATAGATAATGCCTCAGTTTTTGGCACTTCTACATTATTTTAGAGGTTTATTTTGAATAATTAACTTAAGGTTCTGTTGCACATTATGTTCTATATTAATAGGACAAAATAATATTGTATGACATTTACTGGCATTTAGTTTAAGGTTATGATTCATAAAAAATATATATACTGCACTAAGATCTGAATTTATGTTTGGCGAGGCTATATCTACTTCACATGGGTCACATGAATAATATAGTTGCGTGTCGTCAGCAAAATAGAGTATATTTACATGCTCCAATAATTTATAAAGGTCTGCAATATATATGGAAAACAAAAGGGGACCAAGGACAGAGCCTTGGGGTACTCCTGATGTTACACACATAAAGTTAGATGATTTATTTAACTTTACTTTTTGGTAGCGGTTATTTAAATAAAATTTGAAACATATTAGTGAGGTTTCATCGAAACCAAAATATTTGAGTTTGTCACAAAGAAGCTGATGATCTATAGTGTCGACGCTTTAGAAAAGTCAAGCAGAGTAACTGCTGTAGCTTTTCCTTAATTCAATGATCTTATAATGTAATCTGTTAAATCTAAGAGTAATGTTGTAGTACTGAACCCCTTTCGAAAACCTGATTGTTTAGTGGTTACAATATTATGAGAAAATACGGATGTATATATTTGTTTACTAATTACTTTTTCTATAATTTTGGACTACGTCAGTAAAATACTTATGGGCCGAAGGTTGCTAAATGTTTCAGGCTTATTTGATTTTGGCAAAGGCTTGAATAAGGAATACTTCCAGCTGTCAGGGAAGTAATTGAGTTCTAAAAAGTAAGTGACAATGTTCGTTATGTAAGGAGCACAGACTGACATAGAAAGTTGTAACATTTTTGCTGAGATGTTATCAATTCCTAATGCATTTGATTTTAATTCCAAAACTATTGATCTAATTTCATTTACTGTTGCAAGTTTAAAAGAGAAGTTAATACCAGGTTAAAATATATTTGAATTATAATAAGATGTAGTGACTGAATACCAACGTAAAATACTTGTTTATATCAGTTGGGTCACTTAAGCTATCAGGAATATAAAATGTAGTTTTATTTGAAATATTCAAGGATTTCATTGCTTTCCAAATGTCTTTTTTGTTTTGCATGCTTGCACAATAATTTAAATAAGCTGATTTTTCTTTCCTAATTGCAATAGTAACGAGATTCCGCATTTCTTTGTAATGAATGAACTCTGATATATTTTGGGATCTTTTATTTTTTGAACGTCGTTTATCTCGCGTTTTCATCATCTCGCGAGTTGTAGGTGTCAACCAAGGAGCATACGATTTAGTAATTTTGGCTTCTACATAAGGAGCATGGTTGTGAAATAATATTGTGATAAGGTTGTTAAAAATTTGTATTTTCTTTTTTCAATGTTATTTTCATAAATAATATTTAGTCACAGCGCAATCACTAGGTTTGCGTTGAAAGCGTTGTTTGAGAAATATTTATAACATCTATAGGTTTTTAATATGGGAATCTTATAACTAACGTTTAAGTCAATGTCGCAGTAAACAGCACGATAATCTGATAATTGATGATCAATGACTCCTGAATTTAAAACTAAATCTGTTCTATTCGTGAAAATTACATCTAATAGTGTCTGAGAATTCGCAGTTATACAAGTGGGCTCTGATATTAACTGTGAATGCTTCTTATTATTTTGACAGTTTATTTTGAGTTTCTCTTTTTAACACGCTTATATTAGCTTCACCTGTATGTATGTATGTATGTATGTATGTTTGTAACTCTCCTTTGGACTTATTACTGGCGGGTTTTGGATTGCCAGTCTCACCGATCGTGGGTTCTAATACCCACAGATAAAAAAAAATAATTTTTTTTTCAGCATTTTTTTTTTTTAATAATTAATCGAACTAAAAAGTAAAAAATAAATATAGTTTAAAAAACTAAAAAACACGCTTTTAGAGCATATCAAACTAAAAAGTTAAAAATAATTTTTCAAATAAGCTTAAAACAATAATAAATGGAAAATACTAGTATTATTGTGAAAAAAGCGTGGGGCGCTTTGTCCATATTTCTCGTACATCGAGCGCCCGACGATTTTTTCACAATAATACTAGTATTTTCCATTTAATATTGTTTTAAGCTTACTTGAAAAATTATTTTTAACTTTTTAGTTTGATATGCTCTAAAAGCGTGTTTTTTAGTTTTTTTAAACTATATTTATTTGGTTTATTAAAAGTTCTCAATTTAGTTGACCATTTGAGATACAAATGCAAAGCCTTATTTTATCTAAATGTATTTTTTTTTTAAGAAAAATAGTTGAAAAATATGAAAATAACAGAAAATAAAGAAACGGAAAGCGAAAAATTGTAATGATATATAAAGCAAAATATATACAGGGTGTATCTAAATAACACCGAAAACATTAAAGGGGTGATTCTGTGATGAAAATTAATGTGAGTGTTTGGTATAAAATTTTTTGAAAAAACCCTCCCCGGAAAAGTTACACCCCTTCGAAAATTAAAAAAATATAATGGTTTTTCTTTTTTATTTTCCCTGTATATCAAGCTAAAGACACGAAACTTGGTAAAAATTATCTGTCAATAAAAGTACACTTTTTGAAATTTTTTCAACCCTGAAGTATGCTTAGAAGGGGTTGAAATAATCAACCCCTAAGATATTTTTTCTTACAACTTTTTTTAGATGAAATTTTTTTTCTAAAACTTGAGCATTTACGAGAAAAAAAATCTAATGCAATGCATTTTCAAAAAGATGAGCTAACGCGAGTGTATTTTGCGTCAAGTCTAGTGGCCTGTGCTTTGCATAAAAACATTAATACTGATACCAGAATTGTGTAGTGTCATTTTCTGTTACCCATCCTATTGTTTCACAAGTTTTATGATTGTGTATTGTAGGAAATATTAGTTGATTAAAAATATGAATGCATATTCGAATTTGGAAATGGCAGATATGCATTTTACATACGGTCGCGCTAACGGTAATTCATTGGAAGCGCAAAGACTTTATGCTGAACAGTACCCACAGCGTAGACTACCCCATCATACTACGTTCACAACTATTCACCGACGCTTGCGGGAACGTGGTAATTTTTAAAAAAGAAGTTATGATTCTGGTCGTACTAGAGAAGTTAGAACTGCAGCTGTAGAAGAAGCCGTACTTAATTCAATTGAAGAATTCCCAGAAACTAGTGCCAGGAGAATAGCTCGTGTCCTACATGTAAGCCATTCCGTTGTTTGTAGAATTTTAAAAGAACAAATGTTGTATCCCTATCATCTTCAACGGGTGCAGGCATTAATGATTCGAGATTTTTTACCCCGTGTGATTTTTTGTCAGTTTCTTATTAATATGATTGGCCAAGTACCACAGTTCTTAGATAATATTTTATTTACTGACGAGGCGAGTTTCTCAAGAGACTGTATTAGAAATTTTCAGAACAATCACCTTTGGGCTGACGAAAATCCTCATGGCTTTTTTGAAGGAAATCATCAGTATCAATTTTCATTAAACGTGTGGCTCGGAATTATTGATAATCATTTAATTGGTCCCATTTTCTTCCGCTACGATTAAATGGTGAAGCATATTGTCATCTCCTTGAAGAATTACCTGTTCTTCTTGAAGAAGTTCCCATTCAAATTAGGCAACATTTATGGTTTATGCACGATGGTGCACCAGCTCATTTTAGTATACGTGCAAGAACTCACCTGGATGAGGTGTATGCCAATCAATGGATAGGTCGAGGAGGACCTGTAAACTGGCCAGCCAGCTCCCCTGACCTTAATCCTTTGGATTTTTGCATATGGGGATATCTGAAATCTTTGATATACACAAACCCAGTTAAAAATATCGATGATCTGCGAAACCGCATTGTAGCAGGGTGTGAAACTATAAGAAATTCTCCAGGAATATTTCACCGTATACGCAATTCTATGAGGAAAAGGGTAGATGCTTGTATTGAAGCTGAAGGCGGTAATTTTCAACTTTTATTATAATTGTATTGTCGATATTCGACAGGTTTTTGTTCATTGTTTGTTCACTTTTGTTTTTAGTTGTAGAAGTCTTAAGAATCATAATTTGGTTGGCTGTTGTTTAATAAAATGCTATTTTGCATGAGCTAATTTATTTTTTTCTCATAAATGCTTAAGTTTTCGAAAAAAACTTGTAGAGATAAAAAAGTTAGTCAATGAATTGGGCTTTTCAATCATACTTTTTTAAAGAAAAAATTTTCATCTAAAAAAAAGTTGTAAGAAAAAATATCTTAGGGGTTGATTATTTCAACCCCTTCTAAGCATATTTCAGGGTTGAAAAAATTTCAAAAAGTGTAATTTTATTGACAGATAATGTTTACCAAGTTTCGTGTCTTTAGCTTGATATACAGGGAAAATAAAAAAGAAAAACCATTTATTTTTTTAATTTTCGAAGGGGTGTAACTTTTCCGGGGAGGGTTTTTTCCAAAAATTTTATACCAAACACTCACATTAATTTTCATCACAGAACCACCCCTTTAATTTTTTCGGTGTTATTTAGATACACCCTGTATAAATATATTGACATGGATTTCTATAAGTGTAGCTCTATGTTAAGCTAGCCAAATGAATATGAATAATATTGTGTTTTCTTTAAATATGTGGTAAAACTTTTTTTAAGCTGCTTTTATCGCGGGCTTTGAGCGCGGGGACCGAATCAAGAAATTCCGTAACGACCGTAACGAAAAAAAAACCTAACACCCCCCACTCCGACCGGCACAGCGGTGCGGCGTTAAACAATATTAACTTCTCATTTGTTCAATAAAAAAAAAATCGAAAAATCGAAAAATCAAAAAAACAAAAAATCAAAAAAACAAAAAATCAAAAAATCGAAAAATCGAAAAATCAAAAAATCAAAAAATCAAAAAATCAAAAAATCAAAAAATCAGAAAATCGAAAAATCAAAAAATCGAAAAATCAAAAAAGAAATTGCGTAACGAAAATAAACCTAACACCCCCCACTCCGACCGGCACAGCGGTGCGGCGTTGAAAGCCGTGCATCGTCTGACGTCGTTTCAGTTCGGCAGACTTCGGCACGGTGTTTGTGTGCGTGCGACTAGACGTATGCGTGTAGACTAGCTGCTAACTGCTCATAACTGATTCTATCTCTTTTAGACACAATTTCGGAAAAATTGAATTTAAAAATGAATAATGATTCACAAAAATCCACAACAAAATATGGGACCACCATTGACGCGGTATTTTCCAGATATTTAGAGGATATCAAGTCTCAAACTTATGTTTCTTATTTCAGTTACCATAAACCTATAGTTTCAATGATAAAAATTCTTGAATAACCTACATGTATTGTAAGATAATAAAAATATTTTAAACAATAATAACTTCTCATTTATTCAATAAAAGAAAAAAAAATTGTTTCTTATCGGTCACCACGCTTAAAAAGTGTAACTTGAATTAATACCAAAGAAAAAAATACTGCATAAATAAAATAAATATTTATAATTGCATAAGTTGATAAAAAATGCTATGCAATAGCTTTACCGCGGCAGTCCCTAAGTGCCACACGTATTTTTTTATTTAAGGTTTTTTTTTTATTTTTAATACTTGATTGGTTTTGTTTCTTCCCACTCCCAGTGTTACTGCGAAGGTCTAAATAGACACTTGGAAAGCAAAACCAAAAGGTACAGAAAAGCTTTTTCATAGACTACGAAGTATAAAAAAGGTACATTCCAAGATCCAAATGGTTAAAATGTATGGAATAACTTAAACAAGGCAGGTATTCGCAACTAACATAACTGATAAAACTGTTGAAAACAAACGAATGTAAGCAGAATAAGTAAAGATCTGTCACTATTTTTACCTTTCGATATTGGACCCATTGATCACGTGGATCTCCATAAGCATTATAATATTTGCCAGCTGCAACCTCAAACAGTTCCTTTGGTTGGGCGACACCATAATCATTCGTAACACAATGTGCAGCTAAAACATTTTAATTCTATTTGTTCTTCTTTAGAAGATATTCTGGAGAGGTAAAGAATTTTTTATTTATGATTAATATTTCAATTTGCTGAAAACAAAGTGTTACTATAATTAATATACAGAAAGATATACTCTAAAAAAATATTGTAGTTATAGACAGGTAAATAATTTAATCATTAACCAAATAAAAAATTAAAACTGTAATCCTCTCCTACAAAAACGGATGGTTTCTATAAGAAATATTATTTTAACTTACCAGTGAGAACTATCCGTCTGCTTACTAGAGTACCACCACAAATATTTTGATACGATCCTCCTTGTTTTCTGTAAATTGCTATTACCCAAGGGTATTCTAAATCTTTGACTTCTTTGCCACCGTATGAGAGTGCGATCGTTTCATTATTGACTTTTTTCCCACATACTAAAATAAGAGTACATAAGTATACCACAACTTTATTAAAATGAGGAAATTTTACCTGGTTGGCAAACTGGTTTTGGAAAATCCCAAGTACCTGCTCTGCAAAATAAGCTTCTTTTGTTTCCTGGTGGTACTTCGTAATATGCGATACAGTCGAAGGTTAAGTATGTACCATCGATGGCTTGATCGCAGCCAATTTTGTTTCCATCTCTGTCTACACACTTTAGAGTTGTAGTTGCCGTTGAGTAAAATGATGGACACTTTTCTAAAATAAAATTGAATACAATTATTAATATAAGCATCATCATCATTAGCAACTAGATAATTTAATTTAAGCGTTATTAGGTTATGTAAGGTAACGCGGACCAACATTGACATTGGTATAACATTGACACAAAAATGTGACTGCATTGGTAGCCAGACCGTTTTCTCCTTATGGTGATCTATTACCATCCGACGGCTTTGTATAAAAGTAATGCGCATGCTCCGCAGCCAACCTTTGGATTCATAATCGTGCTCTCAATATTTGCATAGGAAACTTTGTGAATTTTGAGTCAACAGGGCCGAAGTTTTGGTTTTAAAGGTAATTTAAGTTCTAATTTTAATATAACAAATCAGTTTTTTTATCCGTTAGTGATTTTGTAAAACTAAATATTAAGTTTATGAAAAATTAATTTAAGGTTATGTTTGACAGTGTCAATGTTAGCCCCTAGTCCAACATTGACACGGTCAATGTAATCCTTAGGCCAACATTAACTCTCAAAATTTTTTGTAGATAACACGCACAAATAAACCCAGACGGCCTAATATTCGAAACTACAAGTCCTATGATCCCGAGGCTATTCAAAAAGCTCTACAAGCAGTTAAAAAAGGTGACAGTTTTAAGGCAACCGCTCAACGTTATGGCATAAACCGGACAACTTTAATGAACCATTTTAAGGGATTTAAGTGTAAAGCTGTTGGACATCCTACAGTTTTAACCTATGAAGAAGAGGAAATGTTGGTGCATACGTTAGTTAAGCTTGGCGAATGGGGCTATGGATTCGATCGACTACAAATCCAAAGGCATGTGCAAGGCTATGTGCAAAAACTTGATCGACCGAATCCGTTCTGCAATGGAATGCCAGGTATTGATTGGTGCATGATGTTCGAAAAAAGATGGTCTAAAGAAATAAGTAGTAGAGTGGCTCAAAATCTTCCCAAGAATAGAGCTGTAGCGGGGTCACGGGACGCAATGGAAGATTGTAATAATAAATTGGAAGCTGTCTATTCGCGTTTCGGTTTGGATAAAAAGTCACAGAACATCTTTAACTGTGATAAAATTGGTTTTCAAACCGATGCAGGTGTCCAGAAAGTTTTGTGCAAAAGGGGTAGCCGAAATCCAAACAAATTAGTCGGTAGCGTCACAAAAGCTACGTACACGATTCTTATATATTGCAATACTGTTGGAGACTTCTTACCAATGTTTATCAACTACAAAGGACTTCACCTCTATTCCACTTGGTGCGTGGGCGGGCCGGAGAATTGTCATTATAATTGTTCACCGTCTGGTTGGATCGAGTGCCTTCAGTTTTTTGATTGGTTTACTAACTGTTTTATTCCCTCAACTTCAGATTTAGAGGGCACTAAACTTCTTATTTTGGATGGGCATAACTCACATTTGTCTTTGGACTTGGTAGAAACAGTCGCAAAACAATATCGAAATATTTTGTTTACCAGCTCACACGTCCCATTTAGTTTAGCCTCTGGATGTTGGCGTTTACAAATCGGTTAAGGCGTCTTGGAGAAAAATACTTTGAGATTTTTATCAAGAATCGGGATATAAAAATGTCGATAAAATTATATTCCCTTCTTTAATGAAAAAATTGGCCAACACTCCAAGTTTGTCCAGAAGTAATACGGTAGGTGGCTTTGTCGGGTCGGGCATTTACCCTTTGTCTTTAGAAAAAATGACAAAAAAATCTCAGATGGCAGATATTGTTAACGGTGAGGATTCTGCTCAGATGCCATCCACATCTTTTGGGGACTCAGGCGAAAATGGCCAGTTGCCGTCGACATCTTACAACATAAGGAATAATATAGCAGAACCGATACCCTGTGCTACTACACCAGAAGATATTAAAAGAAGTTTAGCAAATTCAATTTTATCAGTCCTAAGGACTGAAAACACAAAAAAAATCGTCCTTTATAAAGAAAAACAGAGTAAACAGAAAATTTGCTGAAAGCCTAACAGACAAAGATGTTTTGAAGAGACTCCGTGAAAAGGAAGAAGAAAAGCAATTGAAAAAAAAAGCAAAACCAAAAGCAACCATTGGCAAACAAAAGAAGAAAGGAAAGGCACAAATATCAGGTTCCAGTTCTTCAGAAAGTGAGATAATTTATGATGATAACAGTGACAATGAGCCGGAAGAATTTGAAGATTTGATCATTGCAGAAAATAAAACAATAAAGAATGAGACAATTGAAGAAGAAGGAGAAAATGGGGTAAACGAGGCTAAAACAAACAACAGTCAAAAAAAGTACTCATGCCGACATTCAGAACGTTAAACTTGGGAATTGGGTAGTCGTTAAATATCCTGAGAAAAAAGATATCATTCATTACATAGGAAAGGTTGAAGAAGTAAAGGATGGCAGTATTAAGGTTAACTTTTTACGTAAAAAGGGTTTGTATTTTGTATATCCTGATGTTGAGGACATAGAGCCGGTATTATTAAATGCAGTGGTTGCAATTATTCACGAACCGACGATAAATAGAGGAATGCATTTTTAAAGTGCCCTACATTAGTGGAGTTAACAAAATTTATTAGTTTAGTATCATTACCTTGCCAAAGACACGTGCCAATATTTAGTTTTGTATGTTTTTAAGATGTAATTCCTAGCTTAAGTTCCAGTTTTTGATAATAAGCTTACCACATTATATTATTCTTTTGTTATTCAGAATAAAAATATGATTTCATTAAAAACAACATAGTTTTCCGACTTATTTTTTGCAGACAAATAAGGTTAAATTGTTCGTTTCTACCTAAAACGGCCATAAAACAGATTTATGTGTGTTAATTTTGCTTAACGATTTCTTAACATTGACTTGGGGTTTAATTTATATGGGATGTCAATGTTATACTATCCATAGGGTAACATTGACACCGGACAAAATTAAAAAAAAATTTTTTTCGTAAAGTACAAATTAGAACATTACGTACATTATTGCTTATAGACCAGGGTCGATAATTTTTGAAACCAAAAAAAATTACAGTAGGATGAAACCCATTAGAAAAGCAGGGGAATATGATCAAAATGAAAGGAAAAATAAATTACGGTCGATCCGAGTTCGGGAAGTGGGAGGGGGTGAGTTTTTAAGGGTGAAAAATTGTTTATCTTGATTTCCGGCAAAACTACAAGTCCTATGGAAAAAAGTTAAATGGCAAAGTTGTAGGTCATAAAAAGATCTACAACTTTTGTATTTGCAATTTTTTCATATAACCTCAAAATTTAGGTGAAAAATTCAAAAAACCAAGTTTTTGATTTTTTATTTATATCTTTTTCAAAAAAAAATTTTTTTCTACGAAATTTGGTGAAAACTTACCTTATTATGTCCCAAATATACTGTAATTTATTTGATTAAAAATATTTATTTTTTCGCCTTATTTTAACATAATATCAAAAAAGCACCCTAATTTTCAATCGAAAATTCTAACATCAAAAATACATTACTATAGGAAATTATATTAGAAAATGCGAAAATTTAAAAAACCTCAAATTCGAAATTTTTTTTAATTACTATGTACAATTTCATCAAAAAAATGTGATTGCTGCAATTTTTTTTAGTTAAAAAGTTTATTTATTTTACTCGAATTACATTCATGTCATAGAAAATCTCATACAAAATAAATATACATGTAAATCGTACTATTGAATTTAGAAACTTAATTCTGATTACGTTATTCGTTAAATTTTTTTTAAAAAACGTTAATCTTGTTATTTATAAATACCTTATCTGAAATTCTAATCAGTTATTCATTAGGTTTTGTCTCTTTGGAGGCATTTCTTCATCGTCAGATTCGACAAATCTTTCCAACTCTAGTTGATCGTCGAAATCTTCAAGACCATCATCTTCGTCTCCAATGTTATTTCCAGTCTGCATTTGTTCTTCATCCACAATTTCATCTGAATCATTTACTTCCTCGTAGATTTTTTCTTCCATATTGGAGCAATTTTCAGAACCATGACAATTAGTGCATAAATTTGTGCATTTTAAACCATGTTTTCGGCAGCCACATTTTAAACTGTTACATCCAGTTTCACAGCTGCAGCAAATAGTTTTGAGCAATACTTCCGGAATTAAATCCTTTTCTGTAAATTTGGGCATAATGCCACGCTGATGTTGCTTCCAGCCCTAATCTGTTGCTGTCAATTCGTTACCCAACCAAGTTTGAAGCTGATAATATGCTCTGTAACAATGTTGTTCTGCTGCTCCTTCTGTGGGTGGGAGGTTTGCCAAAATGAAGGATGATTTAATTTTTGATTGATATTTTTGAAACCTTAATTGATTCAGTGTTAATTTTTCTTTTTTACATTTATAAATAGATTTAATTAATTGTAATCCATTTTTTTTATATTTTCTTTACTTTCATCTTTTTTGTAAAAAACATTGGCCAAATTTGACAAATTTTTCGCGTCTAATATAGAATTAACGATACTTTTCTTTCCTTTTCCGGCAAATCCAGACCCTCCTAGGTCCGTCCCCACTTCTCAATGAAATAACTTACAATGGGCTAAAATTCACCGAAGGTCACTCGGGTATATAAATTATCTTAAAACAGCAATAAATAGGCATCTACAAATATTATTTAAAGAAGATTCTACAACTTTTTCAAAATATTGTAGATGTCTTATTAAATATTAACTTTATTAACTTATTTCTTTGTTAATTATAGAACTATATTTTAATTTGCAATTTTTTCGTTTACCAACAAAACATGAAATCTTACGTTTTTTGAGTAATTAAAGTGTAAATTTTAATAAATACCTCAAAATTGTACATAGTGATTAAAAAATATTTTTCGAATTTGAAGTTTTTTCAATTTTTTGCATTTTCTAATAATATTTCCTATAGTAATGTATATTTTTTTTTACACCATCAGAAAGTAGATATTTCAACGAACAAAAATCCCCCAAACTTTTTGAAAAAGCTGAAATTTTGACGTCAGAATTTTCGATTGAAAATTAGGGTGCTTTTTTGATATTATGTTAAAATGAGGCGAAAAAATAAATATTTTTAATCAAATAAATTACAGTATATTTGGGACATAATAAGGTAAGTTTTCACCAAATTTCGTAGAAAAAAAATTTTTTTTTGAAAAAGATATAAATAAAAAACCAAAAACTTGGTTTTTTGAATTTTTCACCTAAATTTTGAGGTTATGTGAAAAAATTGCAAATACAAAAGTTGTAGATCTTTTTATGGCCTACAACTTTGCCATTTAACTTTTTTCCATAGTTTTGCCGGAAATCAAGATAAACAATTTTTCACCCTTAAAAACTCACCCGCTCCCACTTCCCGAACTCGGATCGACCGTAATTTATTTTTCCTTTCATTTTGATCATATTCCCCTGCTTTTCTAATGGGTTTCATCCTACTGTAATTTTTTTTCATTTTTTACCATTTTTGAAGGCTTTGGCCCTGGTCTGTTAGTATTACTACATAGTATGCCTGTCTCAGGAAATTATTAGAGATTAAAAAAAAATTGAGATCTAATAAAAAATAAATTATGAAGTTATGTCAATGTTTGCCCCATTTACCTTACTAGTTGATCTGAAAAAAACTATCCACAAGATATGTGTCATATTTGCTTACTAATAATATTTTATTTAAAAAACTGATATACATAATACTTACTTTCACATTTAGGAAATTTGTTTGGATCGAAGCCGACGTCGCAGGCCACAAAAGGTATTATTGGATTCAATCTATATCCATCTAAACATTCTATTTTCAAAATTGTGTTAATATCTATTTGGTCACCTGGTTTGCCATCGCCGTTGATGATCAACCATCGACCGTTGTCGGGATGCTTGGGGAGGGTGCATTTGTAACTAAAAAAAAAAATAAAAAAAATATATAAACCTTTATTTTCGCACAAGATATTTCATAATAAAAAGAAACCAGTCCCTGCACATGGCTTAGCTCGTATTGCCTACATTGTTTAACGTCAGTCTATTTTTTTTTTTTTAATTTTGGCATAAGCAAATTGCCATTCAGCCAAACGCTGTCAGTTTATCTTAATCAGCCAGTTTTTATCTTTAGGGAATTCTTAAAATACCAATTTTTACATCTATGCCATCTACATTTTTGAAATAGAGAAGGGATCATTTTCGTGTTTGTAATCTTTTTATACAGGTATATAAAAAAAGACTCTAAATACCAATTTTCACTTCATACCATTTTTCATGAGAGATTCATTTTTTAAAAGAAATTTAACTTTGAGGTTAAAAATTCTGTAGGGAAGAAATTCCTCAAAAAATATTAAGCAGGTTCTTAGTGTGTACAATAGACACACCATAACATAGACAAAAACAAATAGAAATAAAGACAAACATCCGTATTAACAAAGTATTTTTAATTAGATATTTAAGTGTAAAATCTTAAAGATAGAAACTTCAACGTCAATTCCGATAAAAAAACGAGTTGGACGATGACGTGACTTTTTAATCAAACTTTATATTTGTTGCAATCACGATGGTCGCCAAATGTTACTTTTCAATTTACCCATAGAACGTAATTCACGTGCAGCGCCAAATGTTACCTCAAAATTAAACTACAAAGCCAGTTACAACTATTTACGATGTCCAAAGTTAACGTACAAGCCTTGACGGTTTGCTGAAAAGCTTTTGATAGCCGGTTTCGCTCCGAGTGGAGAAGATGTAGTTAATTTAGTTCAAAAATTACAGTATTCAAACTAGATAATCATGGGTGCCAATTCAATTTAAATATGCTAAAATAATTACGTTTCTTAGCACCAAACTTAAATCGAGTACACATTAGAAAGGAAATGAGAAAAAGAAAAACTTCTGCTTATACAGTTTGATCAACCCTTCAATAGTAAGTCGTAGGGGCCAACTACACCATGACACGTTGGTGAAGAAATCACCCAATAAATAAAACCTGGTGAGTAGGAGTTTAGTTTATGAAGTAATAAAGATTGTAATAACAATATATTTATTAATAAATTAATAAAATCAAATAGTAATTTCTCATTTTTTCAATACTCTCCTTCATTTAGGCACAACTTACAAAACTAGGCCTGCCATTAAATGTCTGAAGGAGAATACAATAATAATAAGAAACAATCATGGGTCAGGAAGAAGTTTATCAAGTCGTAAAGGACTTGGAAAAAAACCAGCAAATAACTGGTGCCAGAGGCATCGTTTTCATCTTTATAATCTCGTTGTTTACTATTTTTAATGAAAGCATTCTTTTATTTAATCGTAGGTATTTATATTTGAAATAATATTTATTTTAATAATTATAATTTGAAATAAAAACGTGTTTATTATGAATGTTTACAATGTTCTTTTTATTTATAATTATGAATCATAAATAGGAAGACTCTCGAAAAATAATAAGATAGAACCCCAGATGATTTGAAGATAATTTTGTAATGTAATGTAATGTAACACGAGCATTCGATTATACACTGCTCTTCCTTCTTCAGATAATAAGAAAACGTAGTACTCATTTATGAGCAGTTTTGCACCATAATCCAAAGCCAAAATTTATAACCTCACTTTCTATGCAGTTCCTGCATTTTTCAGGCATGGCTATCTTTTTTTCATTTTGGTGCCAAGTTGCGTACACAAGTCAAATCGAAAATGTTTTAAATTTTAATAAAATATAGGAAAATATTATTCATAATCAGAAATGTCGGACAACGACTCAAAGTTGCATGGGGCGAATAGCTACAAAAAAAGTTCACTTCATTTCTTTTATATTATTAAATTTCCTACCATTTTTGTGGAAAACTCTTACTCGACTATAAATAATAGCACAGTACAATTAATACAAAAAAATACAAAAAGATACTGAAAACCGTTATACAGGGTGTCTGTAAAAGGTCTTTACAAAAACATACCACATATTCCTTAGACCAAAATAAGTCGATTTAAGTAAAATTACCTTAGTACAAAGTTGCTTTGTTTGGGCTCCAGAGGGCCTTGAAGTTACAATTTTTAAATCGTTTTTCCCATATAAATTTAAAACGGCATACGCGATTTTGCTGAAATTTGGTATATTGGTAGAGTTTTTTATGTGGCAAAAAAAATGGTATTAAAATTTTGTCCGATAATAATACATAGGCGTAGAACTTGATTTTTTAAATAATTGCACCTTTAAAAATTCTACGCCAATGGAAGAAAAGGAGTTTGAGTATAAAATTTAGATTGCGCAACTCATTTACTTTAAAAAAGGTACTCTTGATAAGACTCGATTACTCTCATGGTTTTCGCTAAATTTCTGTTTTAATAATTTAGAGTGTATAGGTTTCACAAAAATATTTATTTACAACATAATTAAAATAGAGATTTTACAAAAATTGTTCAAAATGTTCACCATTTTCACGCATACTAAGATTTATACGTCGAAGAAAATTAAAATGCATCCTTTCCATAACTTCTTCATCACCTCTAAGATTGTTTATTGCATCTTGAATACGTTGCCAGAGTTGTTCCCTTTAAACTGTGGATTTCAGATGTCCCCATAATAAGTAATATATCGGTGTTAGGTCTGGGGAGCGTGGTGGCCAATTTACAAATGCGTAATTACCTCTGCCTATCCATTTGTGTGGATATTGTGCATTCAAGTGGTTTCTAACGTTTAAAGAAAAATGTGGTGGAGCTCCATCTTGCATAAACCACATATCTCTCCGAAGTTGGAGGGGTAAATCTTCTAACAATTCTGGCAATGTATTTTGTAGAAAATCCAAATAATTTTTTCCAGTTAATCTTCGTGGAAGTATGACAGGACCAACAATGAAATTACCAATTATTCCAGCCCACACATTAATTTTGAATTCGTTGTGAAAATGGTTTACCTTTATTGCATGCGGATTTTCAACAGTATAAACATGTTCATTTATGGGTATTAGTTATACTTCTTCTTGTAAAACCCGCTTCATCGGTAAAAAGAACCTTCTTGACAAAGTTTGGATCTCTTTCTCTTTGCATATTAACAAATCACGCGAGTGACATTTTTGTTTTGTCTTGACATCAAAATAATAATATCTTTTATATTAAACATTTATTTAAATTTAACTAACAATAAATTAAATCTTTAAATTCAATAACAAATTTTGTTTGTTTGTCCGTTTAAAACTTTTTTGTTCTCTATTTTGTCTCTTTTAACCATGAGTACGTTTGTTGAGTGATTTAGTAATTTTTAGGACTAAACATCAGATTCACCTTTAGGGACCGCGGGTTCAGTTGTGCCATCTTGGGTTCTCTGAAAGAATGTTCTGCAGAGCCCGGGCTGACACATCTGAATCACGCGAGTGACATTTTTGTTTTGTCTTGACATCAAAATAATAATATCTTTCATATTAAACATTTATTTAAATTTAAATAACAATAAATTAAATCTTTAAATTCAATAACAAATTTTGATCTTCGTTAACCTCCAATCACTCGAATCACACTCGGAGAAACATGTTCCACACTGAGGTGAACGCACCTCCTTCTGTTGACATTTGACAAGTCAAAGTCTTCAAGTGTCGCTTGTCACCACTGTCATGTGGAAACGGTTAAACAACTTGAACCAAAATGAAGAGATAGATTTAAATTTGAAAATATTAATATTAATAAAATTATGATTTAGCAAGTTGTAAACATCCCGAAATATATAATTTTGGGAGTGAGGATGACCAGGAACTTGTTGGATACGTTGTGGACAGTAGGTAGACTTTTTCATAATTATAATGTATATAAAACATATATAAAAAAACCTTCAGTTTTTTTTTTACTTTGGCCTTCTGCGTTTTACTTTCTTCATATCAAATATTGCATTATAGATTCAAATTTCAATATATATTCCACAGTCACCCTCTAATTGTAAATTTCTTTAAATTTTAACTAATTTGTTAACCTTTTTTCAATTTTGTGAATAGTGAGGGTGGCATGATTCCTTAATTCCACACAAGCTAACTTGCTTTTGGAGATCAGATTTGATTTGTAAGGGCTTATCCCACACTCACTATTCCCAATACCAGGTTCTTTGTCACTTTGTCTGTCTCTTGTAATTTTTAATTCGTTCAAACAATTGTATTTACACTATTTTAACTTTTGACTTAAAAGTCTAATTCAGATTTTATAATTTTTTTTTTAAATCTTTTTAAATTGTAAGTTTACATCCACAATTTTTGTAGATGAGCACTGATGATGGCAAATAAGCCGAAAGCGCTTTGCATTGATTAATAAAAAAGTTTTGCACGAAATACAAGTTTTTCCTTTTTGAATATTAACAAATCGACAAAAACCCAAACGAATTTGAGGATCATGGGCTAATAATTCTTGTACTGGCTTCTTATGGTATGGATATAGCAATTGTTCTCTAAGCGCTTTATAAACGACATCTTTACTTACTCCTATTTCCCTTCCAATTCGTCTAGTGCTTAATTCTGGATCTTCTTCAACACGTTCTAATCAATAGTGTTGGGAGCAAAGCAACCGGTCTCCCGAAGACGTCTCTCAACAGCAGCAAAAGTTGGGTGGCTAGGTACACGACGATTTGGAAACCTTTCAGAGTACACCCTGACACTCTCTCGAGCATTTCCTTCACAAAATCCTAATGTCAGTAACATATCGGTATATTCTGCATTGGTATATTGTACAGCCATATTAATAAACCACGCATTTGTTTTTTTTTAATTATTGAGTCAGATAGAACACTTTCAATCGTTAACAAGAGATTAGGTGTTAAAACTTGATAATATTTTTATTTAGATGAAACTATGTATTGCAGGCAAATAATATTTCTCAAAAAATCATACATGGCAAGAATTGAGTATTTTTGTTAAAAGTCTCGATTATAGGTGTTGAAGAAGATA